CATAAATCTGGTCTCAATTTCGACCGTGAACACATGCAATGCGTTAACAATTGTTTCTTACTATAGTAACTGAACATTTTAGAGAGAAAAAAGAATATAATTGATAAAAATCTAAAATTAATTGGAGTCGCCGTAATATTATTATTTTCAACATATATGGAAATGCGAATTCTTCAAAGCACACACACATGATCATCTCTATTGCGGTTCACCTTCTTCTTTTTTCAATATATGGTTTTTTTAATGATTGTTCATTCGATTTACAGTTTTTAGTTCAATTTATATTGTTTAGTTCACAGGTTTGTGTGTGTGTGTGTGTATGTGAGAGAGAGAGTGGTGATAAATATGTACTCATTATTTATGGTTTTTTCTTTGTTTTATTCACTGGTACGTAACTTGCTATTTTAATTAAATATCGTGTGATTATCGAATAGATTTTGGTGTAGCTTTAAATTTAATGTTAACTGAGAGGCCGTTCAAGCGGAATTATACGTATTTTTTTTTTAAATATTCTTGTCTTATTGTTGTTTCAATATTTCTCGTCGCTTTTTTCTTGTATCTTACATTTCTTATTCATTTCATTATCTAATATGTATACATTGGGCAGTGTTCGGACTGATTAAATAGTCATGCAGTTTGTTTGTTTATATTTCAGTTCTAGTTTACTTCACATAGAGTATTTCGGTTGGTCTTGGATTTTTAGCATTTTTCTTTTGTTTCAAATTGCGTTTAGTTAGAAAAATATATCCATTTTTTTGTTGCTGTTGAATTTATATTGTGTTTGCATCACAAAATGCAAATAAATGAAAAAAAAAACGGATGTAGAAATTTATTGGCGAGTTCATTTTTTTGTTTTCTTTTCTTTCCATCAATTTTTTTTTATTAAATTATGCACATTATAAATAAGCTGTTTATTGCACAATTACGTTTAGATTGCATATTTTGCGATAAGTTAACGGAATATCAAATTAAATCAGTAATTATTGTGTTTTTCATTCAAAAGCAAACCATAGTTTCGTATACATTTTCGCATAGTTTGGCTTTGTAGAGGATTATTATTGATGCGATAGCAAAAAAAAATTATTTCGTCGCATATTCATGACTTAATTTATGGTGTTTTTTGTCTACCAGCGTCATCAATGTATTAAATGAAATTTGAACAAAAAAAAAACACAAGAGAACTTTATTGAGCAGTGAAGGCGATTTTTGAAAATGTTTAACAAATCTGATTCCAAACACCAATCTCTAATTATACCATAATTTTCTTTTCTTCCATACATTCTACATATACGTTTTCTTTGTGTTGTTTCTTCATTTATATCATTTTTTTTGTTAGTAAATTTATACTTAAATTGACTAAAAATTGGTATAAAAATGTAGAAAAGGCCTTATTCATTTCTAAAACATACACACAAATTATTTTCATAAAGAATGTTTGTAATAAAAAAAATTTATACTTTGTTCATGTATTTTTTTATCAAATTTCAATTATTATTATTTTTTGTTGTTGATGTTCTTTTTATTGATTTCCAAAAATGTCGAAATTTAATATGTTTTTGTAGTTATTGTGTCAAATTTTAAGATTGATTTAATAATGATTTTATTGTTCTTTAAATTTATGGCTTGGAATGATGGAATATGCGAAGAATTTTTGATGATAAACATTACTAAGTCTATATAAATAATGAAAAAGGAACAAAACGTTAGAGTTTTAGAGCAATTTTTTTGTATCGGCAAAAATATATAGAATATATATAATTATGTGAGAACTTTTCATTTATTTCATGAAAAAAATCAGAGAATAATTTCTTTTCTTTAAATATCGTTTTCTTTTTATTAGTTAGATGCTATAAGTCGAATTAGCCACAATTTAACTTTGTTTGTTGTTTTGTTTATTTGGTTTGAGTGGAATGACCTTTTTTTACTCACGGCGCATTAATTTTATTTAAATTTTTTTTTTGTTTTGTTTTGTTTAATAAGCATAAAAGCAACTACGTTCAATATATTTTGCAAGCAACCATTATTATTTATATATACACATCCTAATGTCTAGGTCAGTGTCGATTTCGTCGATCATTGTATTGCAAATGTCGCGCAGTGTTCACCTTTCAATATTTTCACTAAATTTTTTACTTCTGTAGTTTTACAATTTTTGTTCATCATTATATTTACAAATCAATATCGAATGTAACGTGTTAAAGAACCTAATTTTAGTTGTTTTTTTTGCACTTATTCAGTTGTTCAAGTCTTCAAATGAAATTTCGTTTATCTAGTGTTTTATTTATTTGAGTTTACTGCCGTCTTTTTGGGATTTGTTTTTTTAAGTACTGCGCCAACTTACTTGGAGAGCAATTTTAATCGGAAAACTCGAGCTATATCGACTTTTTGTTTGAAAATTCATGAAAATACACAGAAATATGGTAATTTCCTAGAGCTACTTGTGTCGACGTCGATCGATTATTTTGGCTATGTTTCTCTTCTTCAAAAGAACATTTCAAGAGCTATAAACTGAGCAAAATTGTAGAACGGGCACTCGAGTTATAGCGACTTTTGTCTGAAAATTCATTCAAAATTCGATAGTTTACTGTACTAGTGCTATTCGGAAAGAACTCTAAGCTGAACATTTTATCAAAATCGTAGGATTTGAACTCGAGTTATTCAAAGACATTCAAAGTCGACATCAGATTCCTATACGATTTTTTTTAAACAAAAATCTACCTTCCCAAGGTAAATAATTTTCATGGACGAATTTTTCAAAATGAAAAATATTCTTTTTGCGGAGGAATCAGTAAAAAATTGGTTTCAAGTTGATGGCTGATATTCGAATTTTGCGTAGCACAAATAAACAAAGCCAAAACGACTTTAAGGCTTGATGATGCATCAAGCAAAATCGTCTCACTTTGCACTTTCGAGACAGATCTCAATGTGTATAGCGAGTACATCGTGATGAGAAATAGTCGGTGTTTTTTAATTTTTTTTTAATTTCGGACTTTTTACCGATTTCATTTTTTCTTGTCCAATTCAATACAAACTTTAATAATTTAATTTATACCGTAGAAATGAATCTGGTTCGCGCATTGCGTTCAAAAATCGTTCGTCGTTTCTTTTTAAATATTTCACTATATTTCGATCAGAGTTCTTAGAGTATACAGGCGGAAAAAGAATTCATTGGTTCATAATGAGAATTGGAAATGGAGTATAATTTGGTAAGTGGTTTTATTTGGTTTGTTGTTCATAAATAGATAAAAATAATCACGATTTCTATTTTATTTTGTTAATTTTTAGATTCATTTTCGGTATTTTACAATCGTACGATGTCAACACAAAAAATCACGCTCAATGACTCAATGCATTGAAATGACACACAACCTCTTCATAAATGCCAGGCATTAACCGCAAAGGAAATATGTGTGCTTTGTCAATATTATGAAATCACTTTTGATGCTAAACGGTGTGCGATAATAATGAATTAACTCTAGCCAAAATCATATGTTTCGGTTTTCTTCCGTGATGTGAAATGATAATAAATTTGATTTGCCAACAATTCAACTGAATATGAAATGTCATTTGTTTTCCAGCGTACATTAACCGAAGGAAATACATTGAAACCATTGAAACAAAAATGGGATCTATTAGAAAACAAAGGCATTTGTTCGAAAATATTGCCAAAAATAAGGGATATTCACAAAGTAATTAATGCAGTTGAATGAACCTGAGCATTGTGGATCTTACCACGGGTTTATTTGAAACCATTCATCAAAATATGTAAAATATTTTTTGTTATGTTGAAATATCTCGTCGAATCGATTCAATGCTCATTTCATCTTTTTTTCAAACTTTGTTGCTACTTGTATTTGAATCAAAATTCATGTTTTTTTTGGTATGTTGAATAGAATAGATTAAAATATACATATTGAAACTGTGAATATTAAGGGAAAGGGGGCTAGAGATTGGGTATTGTTTTTAGTTTTTCATTCTAACGTTGAAAAATGTAACGTGTTGGCCCATTCTGGTGGTCATTTTCGTGTTAAATGGAACGGAGATTATGTGCATAGTTTCCAGTCAAATTTACGAATACCGATGGAATGGATCCACTTGTTCAGGATGATGATGCTGCTCCACAGACAGTTGTTTTGCACCGCGATATTGTTGCTGCAAAATGCATTATGCTCAAAGGTATGAATCAATTGAAAATAGAGTCTATTCATTGTTTAATATTTTTGCTTCTAATTACACAGGACTTCGTGGAATGTTTGGCGTACTAGTGCCTGATTCGTTGAGGAGACCACCGAATGCAAACAATGTCAACTGCCAAGCAGCAGCCTTGAATTCATAAATGATTAGATAAAACAAATATTTTAACGATTAGTTTGCGTGTTACACAAATTTTGTGGCCTTGTTGTGCGTTCATAAGAACAGTACAACGGTAGTGCAGAGGAAAGGAGCCTGTTTTTAATTTAAAAAAAGATATTCCATATATAATTCAATTGATACTAATGATTGTCGTTCCTCTTTTCCATGTATTCACACAAATGTTATGCTATGACAACCGTGAAAATTACTGAAACTACACACAAATCCGGGTCCAAATTTTACCGTGAATTTTTGCCTGGTAATGGGTGAATTTGCATTACAATTTGTTCCTTCGACAAAGATTGGGTATAAATTTAAATATGATATTTTTTCAAAAATGAATCAATACGTTTGTGAAATTCAAGAAAATAAATAAAGGTTCAATTAAATCATGTAAATATTTTCTAGTCTTAAATATTTTCTAGAGCATTCATATAAAATGTCATTTCAAATACGATGTTCTTCTTCTCGTTTTTTTTTTTCTTCATTATTTAGGTTAATTTGTGTAGGACCAAAAAAGCTTTTGTTGGTTATTTGTTTTAGAGTGTCTGTTCTCTTTATTGTTGTTTGAATCTTGTTTGCTTTAGTTGTCCAGTTTTTCCGATTTGTCTCTCTTTTAAATTAGCTTAGCTTAAATCCTATTTTTGTTTTTTTTTTTTTAAGCAGAGCCATCAATATATCAGTCGATGGCTCTTTGCCATTTGTGTGTTTGTTTCTGTATGTGAATGAGAGTGATTCAAAGACGCCGCCTTTTGATTTCACCATTAACATTTCACTTATCGAATTATAAATAAATAAATGGTCTTGACTAGAATCGAAATGAGATTGCACTCATAAATGTTGGTATTTGTTTGCGGTCAAAAAAAATTTTGATGGCAAAATTAATGAATTCCATTGTTAAAATATGCTTGAATTTCATAATTTGTTTTGGATTTGGAAAAATCATCTTATTCGGTATGGAACATTATTATTTTTAAAATCTTATTGTTTGAGCTTTGTTGCTTGTCACAGGCAACTCTTTGGTGAATCCAAACGAAAAATAAACAGACATTTCAAAATTATCGAAAAAATTGCAAATATAGAACAGGGACAGCGAATGACAAATTACAAGTGACGGTTTTGCGTGATACAATTAGTATTTTGTTTTTCTGATTTTGGTTATATGAATCGCAAAAACTCAAGCAAATTATAAACGAAACGAACTATAGCATTTCCAGATTTATCGATAATATTTTGAAGGTATCCAATATATCATTCGTTAATTCAATCACGTAAATGAATTCAATCCGACTGAATCATTCAACTTCTGTGGCTCCTTCATGGAATTGATCTCGAACATCTAGGGCCGATGCCAATTGGAGTACAATATGTGATAATGATGGATGCTCTAACAAGTCAACGGTTGGTAATGGTGGTTCACATCGCGGCCGCTGATGTCGTCCTCGAAATGACATATGAATGCGTAACACAACATCACAAAATATGTAACGCAGCAGTAATGTACGCAAAAAATCATCACCAAAAAATTGCAAATAAGCTGAATCTGAAATGTAAAAAAAAAAACACAAAATCGATTATTATAGATACGATGATTGGTGTTAACAAAAAAAGCGTTTTTTTTTTGTCGCCAAGTCAGTGCTGTGACTAAAAAATCGACACCAAACGACATTCTTTAGATGAGTTACCTATATAATCACGACCCTTTCCTACATCTTCTACACGACATCTTGTTACTAAACATGATGCTTCTGTAACAAATTTTTCTATATATCCTTGACATCGTTCCCAATGATGAATCGGAACATCGCCCACATTACAAATGTAACAAACGGCTGTCAATGGTGAATGCAAAAATAACGTAAACAAGGAACCATGGTGTTGATAATCTTGGAATGTAGTCGGCACATCTTGTGGTGACATCAATATCACTAGCGGTTGACCGAAATATCTAAATCACAAACATATGCCATATTAGTTTATTAATTAGCATTCATTTTTGGATAAATTATGTTATGGAGAAGACAAAACTCCTATTCACAGAATCAATTATTAGATTTCAATAATTAAAGTTCCAAATGAAATGCTGCTGCAAAACGAAAAGAAAAAATTACCTTGGTACATGTTGAAAGACGAACGAATTGTCTGAATCAATGATGATAAATAACGGTCGTCGCGTAAATGGATATAGATCACCGGGGTAAAGACAATGTGGCTCCTTGTAACCGTTACCTTTTCCACGACATGCGATACCACTATCCATACCATCTCGTTTGACGCTCGTACCCAATCCACCCAATTCGTATCCATCTGAATAAAGCAAGTTGAATATATGATTCATTAATATCATTCTCTATCTCGCGCTCACTATCTATCTATGCATCTATCTATCTATCTCTATCATATACACACTCACACATTTCTGAGTCATGAAAGCAACAGGTTGTGCCGAAAACAAATGACAACTTGAAATGTTCGTGTGTGTTATTTCCTGTCGTACGTACCGTTTCGTACTTGATATTATAATGATTACTTACAATCTTCTGGATGTTGTGTGGTTGAAAAGCATCCATCAGCTGACATATATAGTAGTAATGCGCCACCAGGAGGTAGTTCTTTGAATCCGCTACTCAGAAACACTAACAATTGGCTGATTGATGGCTTATACAATAGATATTTGTGTGGATTGTCACGAAAATGGCGTTTTTCACCATTCTCTAAGAATCCCTTTGAGCATTGTTCAGTGTATGGCATTTTCGTGGCTGGACTTGAATCATGTGTGGCCATAACACCCGGTGGCATATAACTATGCATGGCAGCGCTAACGCTAACGATACCACCATGAATATGATTCGTTTCGCTTGGTTCACGTTCCAATGTTTGCACCATACGAAACATGTCCATTGTTAGTTCGGAGAATTTTGCTTGTTCGCATGCCGAACCAACAATTATAATCTCTTGCAGGCTTAGTGTCATGTGCTGTGATCGTTCGCATGGTGGTGTTGTGAGCGGACTCAATCTAGAACCAGACCCACTACACATTAATGGTGAAGTCGTATAATTCTAATTATGTTAACAAGAAAATGACCCGTGCTTTCGAATGATATTCAAATGGATCGAATGTATGTGTATGTGTATGTATATATGTGTATTTTGTATGGATACATCTATGTGTGTTTGTGTATTGGATGATTTGTATTTGCAATTAAATTGATGAATTCAGGAATGTGGAGATATTCAATGGTATGAGCTTTGGATTTAAATGACACATAGAACGGCATATATAAATTCATACAATGACTACGATTGATCGTGATGGGGAATTGGTTTTTCAAAAGACTTTTTGTCATTTTGATGTTGAAAACATGAATGTGAATATGAATGAGGTAGGGGGACAAATAAATTATATGAAAGTCAGTGCATCCCATTTTTGAAATTGATTTAACGGTGATTTTTTTTTACAACTTTTTCCTCTTTAAAAGTAAAAGATTTGTAAATTTGTAAATTATTTGCAAGAAAGTTATTACTCGTCTTCTATATCGAATTTCAAAGATGGAAATGCATGTAAATGTAATAAGCATGCAATATATCTAAAGATTAGGATATTCTTTTTTTTTTTAATATGATATGAATGTGCGATTTTGAATGGAAAAACATTCCAAGCATGCTGAATAGAGTGACGTGAATTTGTTATTTTGAATAATGATTAAATTAACCAAATTTTTGTAATTTTCTGATTCGAAACCAATTACCAACATAAAGCTTCTAATATGACATATCGTATTTTGCGAACATTTTATTTTGAACTGAAAAATGTATTTGTAAGCGGCAAAATGGAAAATAATGTAGTCGAATGTGAAGCACATCACATTGGTATAAAAAAACACTGTGCGTGCACACATGAAATGCGAGCAAATGTGCGGTTGTTGTTTTTAATTTTCATGCGACTGTGACTGTTTTTTTTTTCATTTTCATTTTGAATTTGATTTGATTTGAAAAAATTTCGTGATTTTTTCGTTTGAAATTCGTTTGATTAAACAAAATGTGCCAATTGTTTTTAGCCATTTTTCATTTAGAAGCGTTTCAATGCCAATCGGTATCGAAAGCACGGGCTGTTTACAGCCCATTGAGCCATTCAACTGGAATGACAGATATTTTACCTGTACGATAATACGATTGGATTTGAATCGGCATGCAATACGGCAACAGCCGCTTCAGCCTTAATGAAGCCTTTTATTTCCTCTAAAACAAGTGACCATTCTAGTTGATCTTCAGGTTCATATCTGGAAATGAAAACAGATTTGGAAACAAATGTGTAATTTGTGATAGAAATTCATAAAAATATAGACGTGATTGTGTGTGTGAGAATGAATTTAAAAATAAGTCACTTACGTAGTTGTATATTCCTGTATTTGTTTCTCCAATTCAATAATGAGCTCACGAACTAATTTCATTTTTTTGAGTAGCAGACAAACAACTATGAATCTTGCATAATATCGTAGCTTTTTCACCATTAAATCGGGTCGATCTTCTTTGATGGCACGTGAATAATAAGCTCTACCCCGAATTGCCGCATAGAATTGATAAGCTTCGTTCAGATAATTTGTTTCACTCGTTCTTAAACTATGTAAACAATATTTGAAATGTGATTAGAATGTGGAATTTCGAAAACGAACCAATATGAACGAATAACAAAAAAAAAAAAAAACAACGACGAAAATTGTAAAGTAATTTAAAACATTTGAACACAATGAATGCAATGAATAAAATACACGTTTATCGCTCAATGATCTATCGATCTATGTAGATAGAAAGCTTTTGCTTAGGAAAAAATGCCAATGTCACACTCACTAATAATGATAATACAATTGTCCTATTTTACTAGCAATTTCGCCGATTTGCCATCGCTTCAGGCCGTATTTTGAATCAAGCACAAGCCGATGTTGTTGTTGAAATTTCCACAATTTTGTGTACACATCGAATGTTCGCCCAAAATACGCTTGCCACTGACGATGGCCATACTGCGGTAGATCTCTGTGAAACGAAAATTAAAATTTAAATCGAATTAATCAATCACAATTTTTATATGTGTCCATTAGGGTGTCCTACTGAATTGAGTTTTGGATATCAGCACTGAAAATACAAAGCACTATTGAAAAATAAATATGTTTGACAAAAAATGTCATCTAAAATTTCTTTGTTGGCTTCTACCGAATAAAATTCCTTTCAGGTAATGAATCAAAGTTCATTTTCTATTAAATTCTTTTTTAGCATCTTTCTCGTTGGTTATCTATCATTTCGAGCTATTTTGAATAACAAACAGTGTAACAGAATCTGACACAGCGGGCAATAAGATGAAATGTTCATTGTAGATGTGTGCGTGTGTTTGTATTCTCCTCAGATTCGTACTGTAAAATATCATTAACAGAGCGCATTGTGTGGCGACACCGAAATCGGTTCTCGGAAATAAAATAAATAAACATCACTGTTTTGTTTTGTTTTGTAAATCGTTTTTGAGTATCGATGTTGTTTGTAAGCAGCAACAATGAAAAGGATTGGATTTTTGAATCTATAATTTGGAACGTGTGCCATGCAATTTTGGGCACTTTACAACGCACATTCAATCGATGTGACAAATATTTTTTGAGATTTAATTTGCTTGTATGTGTTAAGATCGTTGCCGGTATTAAAAAAAAGCGTGCGTCGACAATGTTTCTGATTTCAAATTAAAATGCATCGCTGTGAATACAGCCAGCATTGCGATTTGTTTTTACTTTTGAAATATAAGAAAAAATAAAATATCGTTTTTTCGAAGTATGTAATTTTTCAATGAATATCGTGAGTGTTTTTTGAGTTGTGAAGTTTTTGTATTGTTCCGAAATGCTGTGTCAGATTTTTTTGGTTGGTGTGCCATATCGGCTGGATTTAAGACGTAGCATTGTAGAATAGTTTTTTTTGCTTAAGAATGCTGCTGAATATAGCTAGCAGAGAAAGATTTTTTATTTAGTATTTGATTTGCAGTGAAAGATTGTGGTTTTGAAACTGAATTAAAGAAACGAATGTGGTGTGTTGTCAACATTCAATTAATAAATAATATCGCATTTTTCTTCATAGAATTGTTTTATATTTTAAAATATAGACATTTTCGGTGAACAATCGTTATTGAGTAGTGATTTGTGAAGTTTATGATATCGAAATGGAGTGACTAGCAAACATTTGATTGCTTGTTAAATTTAAATTCAAGCAGTTCATTGTTTCCTGAAAATTACGTTTTTCTTCATCACCATTCTATATGAGAATTTCGCAACAAATTGAAATATAATTTTTTAAATGGAATCATTGTTTAACAATTGTTAATTTGCCTATAAATACCGAGATGAATAAAAGAATTGCGCAGTTGCGTTTGATCGGTGACCACGACAAGAAAGAAGAGAAAATCGGAGCCAAGTACTAGCACACCATTTTGAAATCGTTTGTGGTTTTCAACGGAATAATAAATCAGTTAACATTTTTCCGCTCAAAAGCAGTGAATTTTATCATTCGATTGAGATCAACCATAGAGGTAATAAAATGTTTTCCATTTTTGACATCATTGTCGGTGAAATATCGCTTGTAAATGCATTATCCTTCAAATAATAGTAAATTATGTAATTTTTTTGTTTTTGTTTTTGACAGATGAATAAACAATGAAGATTAGATGGAAGGGCGATGATGGAGTAGTGGCCATAAAATGTACGCTTAATTCAATTCTGCGTAAAGAATATCGCGATTTAATGATTTCTGAAAACACTCAACGAAGTTTGACTGCAACCAAGATATGTGCATTAGGATCTACCATCACTTACAATGGCAAATAATGTAAAAAACTGCATGATGGCGCCATCTCTATGTGCTCATGAAAATTAGAACAAAAAGTTTGTGTAGAATGTTAGTTGTTTGAAGTTTGAATACGGAATCATTTGTTGTGACGTCTGTCATTTTACGCTCGATAAAGATATACCGTGTAAATTGAACAAAAACCGATTTATTATTTGTATTTGGTGAATTCGTGATGGAAAATAAATTGAAATTACTTTGCACAGTTTGTGTCATCGAAATTAACTGCGAGGACGTTGCATACCACATGGTTTTTCTTCACACAAAATCAGTTGACATTTTTGACTTTTTCGCACCAAAAAAAAAATGTTTTAATTGCCTTTGGTGCTCGTTTGGATCGCGAGTTCAATGCCAAGCACATAGAGATGTCGCTCGGAACGTGAAGCTCAAAAAAAATATACAGGTGATATAGAAAGCAAGTGAGGGTAGATTAGGATCGTTGCTTTTTTTGACCAAGGTTCAACGTGCGTTTGATGCATATCACATTGATTTTTTCGAAAAGAATAATGGCGAGGACATCATCAGAAAATGTGAATTATTTGATCATAACATATGGAACAAATGTGGAAAATAATTTAATTTTAAACGCACATCTCAAGAAACGGTTAAATAAATTTCTAAAAATGAAGGTGTACAAAAACAATCAAAATCCGATCATTGTTATATTTGATAACAAAGACATTGACAATACAATACAATGGACTGTTTATGGAAAGGATCGCATTGGATTCGGAACAAATGAGGCTGCTGTGCGACGAAAAACGCGAGATGCTGTTAAACATGATTCGTCGTCACAGTTGGTTTGAAATGAAAAATGATAACATCACAAATTTCACCAAAAATAATTGGTTCAAATCACTGCCCATGTGGCTGGGAATGCAACGATAGATTGAAGAGTTTAATGGTACCGGAGAAAATCGTCAACAGCGTCGCAAGCAAGCGCAAAAACAAAACAAAAACGAAATATAGATCCAGATGCAAATCCGCCACCAAAAATCAAAAATCTCACCGTTATTCCGCTTTGTGGATTTTTCCGCGCGCATTTCACCATTGACAACTACAATTTGTTCAAGTTTTTTTGTGGAACTGGTATCATTGCAAAAAATGAAAACGGAACGCAAATTTCTTCATCCGATTTAAAAAGAGACAAATCATTGTACTGGAATCAAGTATTCAAATTGCCGAAAATAAAACAACTCGGAAAAGGAAAGAAACTATTTCAATTCATGGTGCTATCCGATGGTCCAGTTTCAAAAATGCCATTGAAATTATTTTGAATTTCAATTCGTGTTTTAGGTGAATTTGGAGACAAATGCGAAGCGATTTCATTGGAATACTGGCCACACGACTCGAAATGCTAAAGCCAAAAGATGGACAAATCGTTTCGTCGTTGTTGAACGAAATGATCGGAATGACCGCAGATTGTATCCAACGATGCCCTCATCATTGGGAATACACTGGGTATACTACACTCACCATCGACTCAAAATGATGAAAAAAGGAATGGATGTATATGCAACAACAAAATATACACGTCTCCGTTTTGAAAAATATATCAGAACAGTTCGAGCATCTGATGAAAAGGCTGGTGAATTGGTCAACTATAAACCATCCATTATATTTTTTGGTGCTGCAGATACACCACCTAACTCACCAATTAGGATCAAACGGCATATGCGATGTCCCGGTTCCCGAAAACTGTGCGCAAGTTTCAAAAAACGTGGCAACTGTGTTATCGTTTTTGTGGATAAAAATTTTACCAGTCAAACGTGCGCCAGATGTATTGGTCGATTTGATCAGAGAACCAAGAGTCATCGATTTAAGGTATGCCAAAATTGCCGTCCACGCTTTGAAGCAATGTTGCCATCAAAGTATTGCTCAGCGCTGCTGCCATCCACAGCATATTAAAATATCTTGCTGAGAATGCGTCGTCCGTCGCATGCGAACGTACGTAGCAGTTTATACATCACAGCGAACAAGAATGAATCCATTGTTCTCTTCACGATTATGTGACTCAAAACAATCAAACGGTTGAATAGAGAACAATGTATGTATTGTTGTTCGCTTTGATGTATAAACTGCTACGTACCTTCGCATGCGACGGACGACGCATTCTCAGCAAGATATTTAAATATGCTCTGGATGGCAGCAGTGCTGAGCAATACTCTGGTTGCCATCCATGATAGTGGCAAAGAAAAGGGAGACGACAATTACGACTCGATCGACTGCAAAATTTTTTGCTACAACTTGAAGCGATTGAAAATGCAACAGAACCAGATCAACAAAAAGCAGACTCTTTATTGTCAAAGGTGTTGATTCACACATATGAATGGCTAATAAACCCTGTAAATGGCGAAATGGAAAATGTTGTGGCTGAACAATCGAATGAACTGTATCAAGAGAGTGGATGGTATCAACAACCTAGAGTACGGAAGACTGTGTGGGACCGCGATATCGTTGCCGCTAAGTGCATTTTGATTTAAGGTACGTATGAATTTAAATTTTACCATGAAACAACGTATTTCTTTGCATATTAATTGATTTGTATTTGTTTGATTACTTTTAAGCGCTTTTTAAGCTGTTTAACATTCCAATCAATGAAGCTCTTCTGCAACATATACCTTGGAACTCACCACCTGATAATCAGCACTAAACATCGACCATCGATCATTTTCATCAAATTAATTCAAAAATTAATATAGTAACATAATGTTACATTACCGCTAGGCTTGAGTGTTGTGGCCTAGTTAGCGCAAGCAGGAGTACTACATCCCATTGAATGTAAGTAAAAATGATATTGTTTAATACTTTGTTTTTGTTTGTTGCCCTCAAAAATGAAAATAATGATTGTAATTTTATTCTTGGACACAAAAAATCTATTCACATTGTAGGAGCTAACAAACAAATTTTAGCTGAAGATTATTTTCACAAAAATATTTATTTTTATTATTGGTTTGTATTTTCAGTGCTGATGTCTAAAACTCAATTCAATCGGACACCCTAGTGTACATACAACTAATATACTACGAAAAAAAAAACTATCATTTACCTCAGCCCATTGAACAGTTGCTTCGATTTCTCAAGCAAATGACAAAATTCTAAAACAATCTTTCTATCCTGGTCTTCACTTTTCTCCATATTAACCATACCGTTTACCGCATCCAAACTGTCAACCAATACAAAAATTGAATTAGTAAATTATATGAAGCATATACATGCACTCTTATTAAAATGACGAAGAAATATGTAGATTCATGCATTTCAATGCAATTTCGTTCGTTAGATTGGTGAATAAATTGAAGAAAGTGAAATTGAGAGAGAGAGAGAGAGAGAAAGAGTGAGAAAGAGTCAAGAGAAAAACAATTAATTATACACATAAATGCATCAAAAAGCCGCTTCATATGATATATGATTGCATTATCGGATGCTATCAAGTAGAAGTAGTTCAATTTATCTTTTCCAGCGGTCACACATTCAATTGTGTGTTCATCCACATCGTTGCATACAAAATGCACATATTCTCTTCGTTTAAATTGCATTCGATTAGGTTTTTATTTTCAATTTGGATTTTTTTATGTACGGTTGTTGTTTCATTTTTTTTTTTTTTTTTATTCCAATTAGTGATGGAAATTTATTCATATGAAAAATCGATAGTAAAAAAAGCCAAGCACAGCAACAGTATCTCAATAAATCGAAAGGGAAAAATTATCAAAGCTCGCACATTGTGCCAATTGAAATCGGATCGCTCGTTAGTATCGAGGGATCACACTATGGGAAATTTTCATTTACCTTTCGTAAAATATTAGAAAATTTTGACATGTGGTGTCTTTCGTTCTCACTTTATAATAAAAATCAATGTATGCTATCTATTTTGTCTTGATGTGGTGGTCGGATTCGATATGGTTTGGTAAAATCGAACTAAAAACGTATTGAATGTGTCAACTCAATCGGAATTAATGCATTAATCACGGCAAAGCTAGTCTTCAGAAAAACCATATGTGTTTCCGTATTTTATGCGTTTTGCTCGAAGTTTGTGTGTACGTATTCTTCGTGTGTTGTTGCTTCTATTCTTTTCGTTGCTTCTATTCTTTCATTTCTATAAAAAAAAAGTTTCCTATATGTTTTCCTTCGATCCATACTTGTCGTCTTTCCTTCTTGTTGTGAGTGAATAGCAATGTGTGTTGTGTTTTATTTCGTCTTTTTATGAATTTTTCTGTTCTTCTGCTATTCTATTTCGTTTTATTTTGCCTCATACTATTTCTATGCTCTTCAATTTAGAGCTTTCATTATTATTATGATTGTTCTTTATTTTCACTGCTCTTTTATTTTATCACAAACACATGTACTTTTTGTTAATTAGTCCGTCAACTGGATCAGTGTAATGTGCCGGATGAACATTTCTCTTTCCGCCGCACGCGCCATATGAAAAGCACACACACCAAACCTCACACACAAAAAAAGAATATTAGACACAAAGCCCGAGAGAAAATTGTTGCAATAATAACACGAATCTATTTTCTATTAAAAAATTGTATTTAAGCCGAAACCGAAATACGTATATCCAATGGCCTTTTATATATAAAAATAACTATATTCTATCTATGTTTGATTATTTGATTTCTTTTCCTGCTCTCGGTCAACTTTTTTATTTCTAAATTTGCTTCAACAATAACAGATTGAAAGAGAGGCCGCACAGATAAAAGCCGCACACGAGAACTTAGTTATGGCAAATGGCAAAATACGAGCAGAAGAGAATAGTGGTGAAATCAGGAACACACATACACACAGAAAAATGAAATGAAGCAAAATGTTCTGCGCGCATTTCAGATACGTACACACATCTATAGATGTGTATGTGATGTATATGTCGCGGAAAAACAGCCGAACAGTACACACAAACCTAGCAAAAAAAAGCGATATTGACAGTTGACGTGCATTTGATTCGTGTAGTATGTGGGTCTGTGTGTATTTCACGCTTTGACGGTGTCGGTGTTTAAATGTATTAAAGTGGTTGCGAGAGTGTATTTGTGTGTCAATGTGAATGGCGGTTGTGAGTGTGTATGTATACTACGTGATTTCGCTTTTTCTTCTTTACCTATATCCCATTCGTTCAAATTGAATAATCAATTTTCGTTGAATATATTTTTCCTTGTCATTCTTATCTTTCGGTATGTGGTGGTTTTTTGTGCGTTTTCATCTCGGCATATAGTCAAACTGCTGTTGCGTTCATCCACTCTTTCAGGCTGTGTATTTGCACTGAATTTAGTAAGAAGAGATATTTCTAGCGGCATAGTTATGTTTTGTATACATGATATGATTGGGTTAGAATAAAAATTCAACTTGAAACTAAAGTCTATAAGTCTAATATATTTTAAATGGGTCAACGGATCTGGATCAAATCGTAGAGAATTATGCGGCTTTTATGTGATTTTTTTTTCAAGCGATGCCTGAAAAATTGTGCGTGTAAAAGCGATGAACGCAAATTCGACCAAGTGGCAAAGAATTTGGTATGAACGTAACAATTTCTAAGATTGTGAGACCTTATTGCGAATTGTTTAAGGAATGAATGTACGACTTTTAAAACTTTAATAACTTTTGTCGTTTCGCAACTAGATCATTTCCCATAGCTATATTCAGAGATTTTTATTTCAAGTCTGATTTTTATTCTAGATCATTCATATGTGCCGCATCGTGCACCGCAAGAAATCCGTGTTGTATAGCCTACATTGATGTTACTGTTTACAGTGGGCAAAGTGATGTGGCACATATTTGCGATATATGCAAGGCATATCTGTGCCGTTAGAAATATCTTTGGCTGCCAAATTCAGTGCAAACACACAGCCTACTCTCTTCTGATCGAGATTTTTCCAAAGCCGCTTCAGTGAGCGCGCTTTTTGCACAGAACCAAACACACACACACACATTGAACAGAAGAAGAAAAAAATTGAAAATCACTGACATAGTTTCATTTTATCCTTCAATAAACTACTCGATGTGTTTTTTTTTGAGTTCGTATTCAATTTAAACGTATATGGCAATCTGTGTCAATCGAAAAGACAACCGATTGATTGCAATCAATTTTGCTGTGCGACACATAGCGAGAGATGCATTGAAAAATATGATTTGGTATTCGATTTTTGGAAATTCTTTTAAAACGCCCAGACTTTGTATTCGGCCATTTTCAATTTGAATGTTTTCTGTATGCCGACCAGATAAACCGTAATAACATTGAACAATGGGCTGTGTCAACTTTGTGGATCCCAGGGATTGTTCCTCTGAGGAGGAGGAATGGTGAGGAGGAAAATGAGGAGGAGGAGGAGAACGAGGAGGATCCTCCTCCTCAAATGAGGAGGAAAAGTTTTTTTTGCTCAAAGGGCTATTTTTATCACAAAAATATCATTTTTAGCTAAAAACATTTTCCTCCTCAGTTGAGGAGGAGGATCCTCCTCGCTCTCCTCCTCCTCCTCCTCATTTTCCTCCTCACCATTCCTCCTCCTCAGAGGAACAATCCCTGGTGGATCCAACTATCCAAAACGGAGTAAAATGTCTACACAAAATTATCATTGCTGCTATTTTATTTTTTATTTTTTTGCTACTTCTGCCGCTACTTCCTATATATCACATTTTTCCTATTGGTGTTGTTGTGAATGTGAACATATGTACGTTTGCACGGCAAGTGCGAGGGAGAGATAGAGCGCCATAGACAACACCGTCAAAGATGAACTAGCGCGTGCAATGTCATGGAAATGGCAATAGTACAACTGTTAACCCGTAATTGCACTAGCACTAAGCCGTTCGTGTCGAACAACTGCGAAACGCGTGCTTATTTTGCACACACATACACACGGATACAAAGCATAAGGAAAATGATTGTAAGCCTCTTGTGCTATCTACAAACACAAACCCAATTAAGATAGAATCAAACGTATTCATTCAGCCAAACGTTTTATATGCAGCTGTAGAAAAACATACGGTAACAATATAAAGAAAAACTGAGAAAATTGATGGGCAGAGAAGTTTACCAATTTTGCAACCCAATGACAAATACTACAATATCATTTAATCATAGTATTTCAAACTCACTGATGACGTTCTCATGCTTAAACTTTTAAACAACAATTTCAAATTCAAGAAATCAACATCACACACACACACAAGCACTCTTCGGCTCCATTACTCGCTTGCAAAATAACGAACCTTTTTCACAATCACTCGAATGAAAGTTTTCGACGTGTAAAAAAGCGAGTGTATCAAGCGCATCTCACATACAGGTGTCAATGGATTACCATTTCACATGTTATTCGCGATGTTTCTTCATACACAGATTCACACGATGTGTCACACATACATCACACAATGAGCTTTACATTTTTCTCTATTGTTATGTCCTCCGCATTTAACATGGAAAGCACAATATTCATCAACATTGTACAATGAAAATGGTACATAAATATTTGGATGATGATTTTTATTATCACCATCGTCATAACAATTTATATGCATACAATTGAGTTTTTACATTATAATATTGCTGTTGTTTCAATTTAAAAAAAGAATTATTTTCTCTCGCTCTCTCTCTCTCTTTCTCTGCATTCTTTGTTGATTGTTTTCTCTTCAGTTTATGATTGTTAGTTTCTTTGGAGTCAATGCTGCTTTTTCTCTGACCATATTCTGCGTTCAACTGTTCGGTGTTAATCACCGAGAAATACATGTTTTTCTCTTTCGTTTTTTGTTTCAAACATGAATATAAATGATGACAGTCTATTGAAAAATAAGCGTTTGAGAGCACTTTTCTCGTTAGAATCAAAGTACAAAGAACTAAACTAAAAAACGTGTTTCTCTAGAGATGCACATACACTCCTCTTAACTCTCTCTTCCTCGCATCTTTTTCGCTCTTACTATCTCTCTCTCTCTCTCTCTCTCTCTCTCTCTCTCTCTCTCTCTCCGTATCTTACTCTGTTCTAATGATGATAAAAAGATCACAAAATCAAGTGTGACAAAAACAGAATGTAAAATAAAGTCTGTGTTACCCATTTGTGATTTATTGTATTCGGCACGTTCTCTTGTCGCGTGTAGTTTCTTTTTTCTCTCGCTTTAATCTTTCCGCTTATTATGCCAAATTCGTGTTAAAAATATTGTGAAACATAAAATGGAATTGTTGTTGTTACAGTGATTCTTTTATTGTTGTCCCAGTGAACAACAGAAAAAAAACTTTTCTTCCTCTTTATATAATGATACTTTTCACTCTATTTTCTTTTTTTTTTGTTGTTTTTCGTTTTTTTGTTGCTTTTGTCACTTGGTTACAGCTACAAAAATTACAAAATGCTATTCAGCTATGCACTTTAGATTGGATTTTTTTTGTTGCCATCGTTGTAATTTTCTTGGTGAAACTTTGCCGCAAATCGATTTTAAGTGAAAAATCATAAAGGCTGTTTTAGAGAAAAAGACAGAAAAAGAAGGACACCCATAAAAATGTGAGAAAAAAAAACACACACACAAACGTAAAGGATAGGAGTAAAGCTCTTCTCCTCCTTGATTTATTGCAAAATCGAGTTAAAATCGGTCGCGCACTGTTTTTTTATAATTCGGTTGAGCTTCTCCGCGTGTCATTCTGATACTACTGCTGTTACAACAGCTGCTGTTGCATTTCTTTGTTATCATCGTTGATTTTACCAACGTATCATAAACATTTTACCAACGTGGAACATTAATTGTGTTAACCATTGTCGCCGCAATCATACGGAATTTTTCTTTATTCATCAGTGTCATACAATTAATCGAGAAGAAGAGTGAGAGTGGTACGGTCAGAGGATTTGGGGCGGTCATGTCTGCTTTTGTACTTAATTACCCACTTCTTGGCACTGAGCCACCACACAGCGTGTATGTGAATAAGTACCCGCGCGCGCGTGTGTGGTTTGTTTTTGTTTTAAGCTGTTGTTACGAACCATGCATCGAGATCAAGTGTCAAATGGAGAGGCTATACATCAACGCTGATGCATCTACTATTTTATAGTATTCAATCTTCATGCACACGCATACACAGTTCACGTTTTTACACACAAAAATACACATACAAATCAAGTGCAATTGAATTGAGAATGATCCAATGAATAATATCAAATTCAAAAGCTTAAGAAACTTGAAAATCCCGTTGCGATCGCCGCACTTTCTTTCCAAGAAATAGAACGCACATTTTTTTTTCTCTTTTCACCACCCATTGAAATCAACATGGGAAAAAACCATATTTCTTTTTTTGGCACAGTCAATATTGACCATTAAACTTCACAGAATACACCATAACGAATACATATCCAAGCCCCTCGAAAAGTGGTTAAACGAAATGAAATATTGTCTTTTATTACATCGCGACGATTGGCATGATTCGGGCCCTTCGATTATATAATAATCAACAAATATAAAAAAATGAAAAAGAATTTGTGTGAATCTTTTACCCTCGTATGGCCACGTAAGCTATACCTCCAACGCATATGTTTGCTGTTCAACTGTAACCAACGACGATGGTCGAACAGAAATCAATGGTGTCGCCCAAATGCGTGTATTAGGTGGTAGAATTGTGCACCGGCTATGCCGTGTACCCAGCTTCCTCTATGGTAGAAAGAGCCATCGGGTGAGACACAAGAGTTTGGCCTATATTAATAAAGGCATCCAGTCAATTTCCGCCCCAATAATATAAGAAGTTTTGACCGACATTGTACTGGTGAATTATAACAATTCGATATATGAAAAAAAATTGCTTCTGTTTTTGATACATTTTTTTTTCAACTCGAAATCATAAGAAAATTAATTTAAAAAATTATATTTTCATTTTATAAATTAACATTATAGTAAAAATTGTTTATGTCACAGATATGAAAATGCAATATGTTGGTCATTGCAATTAATTGTACATTATTCGTTCAATGCGTTTTAGCTACAACAGTTTTAGTCATTTTTACTGTGCATTTTGACATAAGGTTTCGGGCTCACACTCTTCCCTGTCGTGTGAGTATGTTATTGTTGCTGCTGTTATGGTTTTTTTTTCTTTCTCTTCCCGTTGTATATCCCATGTGTCTTTTTTGTTACTTTATTTCTCTTTTTTGTCCTGGTGTTGTTTTATTTTCACCCATATGAAAAAAAACAAATATTCAAAATTCGATAATGGATTTATACATGTACACACATACACATTCAAACCCGACAACGCATAAATAACAAATAAGAGGGTTGATATGTCTCCAATATTTATATATTTCGTTTATGGCATTCGATTCAATTCTGATATGTATACTCTCCGATGTGTGTATGCGTCAATAATGTTGAGCGGGATTTGGTGGCCATATTCAGCATTTTTTGAGATTTGGAACTTCAATTCAAGCCAATAACAGACAATGGGAAATGGCACAGATCGAGTCGAAATTCGTAAAATCAAAGTTATCGAAAATGTTCATATAATCACAAATTAAAGCCAAAAAATGGCAAACAGAATATGATGAATAATGATAAAATCGCCAATGATATCGAATATTCAAGTAGAACAATCCACTCCCCAATTGCGGGAATGATTTGCAATTATGTATGAATGCAGTGATACAATACCCATTTTGAAATTGTCGTGCAATTTTTACGGTTTTTCCATTTGAACATAAGGTAACACAAAATACAAAATGGTAAGAATGTGTGTGCGAGAAAGAGAAAAAAAAGAAAACTTCCTCGTCGTCGTCAATTTCACTATAATTTAACAACCAATTTACAATCATATACGAATGCAATTCAATGACAGCAGTAGCAGTATGACACCGATTACAATGCAATTCCAACATATTTTTCGTTCGTTTTATCATTTTTCCTCAAAGCTTCTTGGTTTCTTTTTTTCTTTATGAAGTTCATTCTCATTCAGATAAATGGAATCAGAACACTTTGCACTTATTATTATTATTATTGAGCATTAAAGTCTACCTTAAACGAAATCACGAAACACTCTAAAATAATTTTGTATTTGCCTATGCCTATCCTAAAAATGTATGTATAAGTCTTTTTTTTTGTTGTTTTCTCAATTTTTCCACAAACTACACACTATTTTTTGTGAATTGTGACTTCTTTTCCTTTCTTCAACTGTTCTATGTTTGATGTAATCTATCGAAAACAATTGAAACACGGGAAAAAAAATTCAGTGTGCACACGACGTACGCGCGCAATATGACTATAAAATGAAATTTCTAAACGATTGTATTTTGCTTAACATTTCCCTTTACTATCCTGTCGCGCTCGCTCTCGCTTTCAGATACGTGTACAGAAAATACGGTAACATAAACACATACATACAAAGACACACACACACACACATATATATATATATATATATATATACACGAAAAGAACGCATACTTTATTTTTCCGACCACGTTTCGCATCGGTCGTATAGGATGTGTGTCGACGTCAATTCAGGGGGGTTGCTACTGTATGCGCGTTTTTTTCCTCGTTCATTCACTTCATTCCCTTTTCATGCATATTACGACAGCTACTAGAGTCATAGTGAAATAGGCTACTACATTCATTCGAATTACGAGGAGGAACGGATACACACACATAATTTCTCCCATTCTCATATGTTCCGTTCGCTGGATTGCATCTGTAAACTATCATAAACGGCCATACGGTTCATTCTCCATACGAGAGTGGAGGATACCATTGTGTAACCGTGTGTATTATATTCTGTTCGCATCCAGTGAGCGTATAGCATTCGCTAAATGTTCAATATTGTGTGCAGTTGGAATGTCCGACGAATGTCCAAGAATATCAATGATGATGCATTCTTTATCCCAAAACCAACGGCCACATTTGATCATCAATCATCTCTGAACAAGATTTCCAGTCAAAAAAGATTAGATAAAGTGAATCGAAACTAAATCCAATCCGACACATTTTATCTCGTTCACATGAAAAATTGCCAACGGTTTTTTTGCTCTATCTGCCATTTGGCAGTAAGAAAAAAAAATTAATTTGATTCTTTTTTTCGTTAATTTTTTTTTCTCAAATATTTTGAGAGAAAATCTAATGGATTTCAGTATGCTTCCGCATTGAACACATTGCTTCCGTACTGTGAGGGGTTGATATCAAATTCTCCATATGACATGTAATATGACATTTGACTTTATGTTCATTGTTCAACGTATAGATAGAAAATCATTCAAGTTTATGAATTCGAATTTCGAATGAACCGCGCACACATCAATCGAACGCACTCCAACAACTCTCCCAATGCTCATCAAGAATTTTTTTTTTATTTTAATTTTTTTTTTGAATTGTATCCAAAGCGAGGGAAAATAAAATAAGGTAAATAAATTTACACAAAAATAACGAATAATACAGTTGAAAATAAAACGTCGGAAAATGTTCACAAATAATTCGTTGCAATGTGTTGAAAAACGCCAAATTCACCACACCGCAACAAGCGCGCACCACACAATACAAATGGCAAACTGTCAATATTCAATCTTGAACAGAGTCAACCGAAATTACTTCGCTTTAACCAAACAAACACAGAAAAAATTCCAAACAGAAAAGTCCGGCGTTTGCAATCATTTTCATATTCAATCAAATATTTTGCGCTTCTTCGAACGATAATTCAGAAAATATGGATAAAAAGAATGAGATTCAATTAAATAATACACCAGGTGATGTGATTTCGTCGTGTACATTTGCGCCAAATTCCAATCAATATTTGATGGTCAGTTCATGGGATTGTACCGTTCGTTTGTATGATACATTGAATAATTCGTCGCGGCACAAATTTACACACGAAGCTCCAGTTTTGGACTGTGCATTTCAGGTAAATTTTGTCATTTTTAAATGCCACATACTTGGGATTTTTATTTTGTAATTGATTTATTATTTTTCATTGTTGAATATGTTAAGGATCCCGTTCATGTTGCTAGCGGTGGTTTGGATAATACATTAAAATTTTACGATTTGAATACACACACTGACACCGTACTTGGTACACACAGTGATGGCATCAAATGTGTTGAAATGTGCACAAAAGTGAATGGTATTCTGACCGGTAGTTGGGATAAAACCGTAAAACTCTGGGATACAAGAGAAAAAGACTGTGTCGGCACATATGAACAAAACAATGGCAAAGTCTATTCGATGGATTGTGTTGATGAAAAATTGGTGGTTGCCACATCCGATCGTAAAGTTCTCATTTGGGATTTAAGAAATATGGAACAGTTTGTTACACGACGTGAATCATCGTTGAAATATCAAACACGATGCATTCGAATCTTTCCGAATAAAGATGGTTTTGTGATGAGTTCAATTGAGGGGCGTGTCGCTGTTGAATACTTTGACTTGGATCCAGAGGTGCAAAAACGCAAATTTGCATTCAAATGCCATCGATCGAAGGAAAATAACACTGAAATTATTCATCCAGTCAATGCAATTAGTTTTCACAGTGTTTACAATACATTTGCAACCGGTAAGATTTATTCGATTATTCTTTCTTTCCTTCATGTGTCTTAATTTTGAAATATTTTTTATACTGATTGACAAAAAAAAACGACACTCCATTAATAAACAATTTATGTGATAGGTGGATCTGATGGTTTTGTTAATATTTGGGATGGATTCAATAAGAAGCGTTTGTGTCAATTCCATCATTATGATACGTCAATTTCGGCACTTAACTTCAGTTCAGATGGTACCACTTTGGCAATCGCATGCTCCTATTTGGATGAATTGGAAAAACCACCAGAACCTGTTCCCGAACCAGTCATCTACGTTCGATATGTCAATGAGCAAGAAATTAAACCCAAATAAACTCCGGCTGCATTTGATGTTTTGGACTTTCTTGTAAAAAAAAAAAAAAAAAAAAAATCAACATTTACTAGATTATTTCATACAACTAAAATAAGATGATTAAATAAATAACCAGATGAAAATACAAACAACAACCAAATTTTAACTTTGTGCATTTTTAAAACTCGATATTTTATTAAATGTTTTGTATTTGAGTGTAGGCCCTTAGAATTTATTTTAAATGTACAAATAAATGCGAGTGAGCTGTTTAAATATTTAGAAGAGTTCCTCGTGTCTTTTTCGACTGCATCGTTGTGTTATTTGTTTCAGGAATATCGTTGAGTTTCCCACCTTTTCGTTTCAATTGTTTCTCAATGATACGAGCATTATTTGCATAGCTGTCAGCGATTTCGCGCTGAAAACAAAAGAAAAAGACGTTGGATTTTTATAAAAACAAAATTTTCAAAAGTGTCGAGCACAAACTTACCGCTTCAATTTCATCTTCTTCTTCATCAATCGTTGAAACTGTGACGGAACTAAATTTGCCCATATTTTTCGTGTGTTTTGTGACCAACACTTTACGCGGACCTTGTGTTGATAGAATTTGACTGCCAATATCTCCAATTGCTTTGAATGGATTTTCGTTCTTTGACTGAACGATAGCACGTTTCAAAATGAATGTTACCTTGCTATCTGGACTGTGTCGATAGAATAGCGGCAAATGGCATGTTTTACACTGTCAAAATAATAAGAAAATTTCTCAATTGAATCGGTCGATTTTTATTTTTACTTAAAACATTTATTTTTACCTTGAAGCGATACTGTTTCTCAATTCCAACATCACGCCGTACATAAATTGTTTCGTCTGGTTCACAGGTAATTTTATGGGCATGATATGTGGAATCGATTACTCTTGCTCCGTCCCTTTTACGCAATGGTAATTTCTCTATGTCACTATCTGAAATCAAAAAGAAAACTTTTAGTTTCTTCTCGAATTTATTTCACGACTGTTTTTATTTACCTAAAATTAATGTCATTTGTCCACATAGGCAGTAGTAAATGTGTAATGGATTCTCTTCATTGTACTCTTGTTGATCTTTCACATCCGAACAGACAATGCTGCGTGACACAACCTTTGGCATTTTGTTTGTTTATACACAATCAAATTGAATCACAATGTAAATGAATTTCGTCGATGTTTACTTTTCGATTTTATTTTCCTTTTTTAAATAATTTATCTAACAAACCAAATAGATATTCAAACGTTTTGAATTCGTTGTTACTTTACAAATTTCTATTTTAGTTAAACATACGCACACTATTGATTTGACAAATAATAATAATATGTCAAAGTGGTTGTATGTAAGCGACGAAAGATGGCGTTGCTGGTCCCAAACTGGGTCATTGTCGACACAATAAACATCACAAAACCAAAGAATTGAATTGAAATGAAATCGAAGAATCAATTGATTGATAAGTTTAAATTTTTTTATTTTAAATAGGCACGTAACGTTTAAAGCGCACACATTATATCATTTGATAAAATCTTTAAACTTACTAAACTAAATTGCATTTATGCGTCCATTAAAAAAATATATTTTTTTACAAATGTTATCGTGAGGGAAATGCTAAAAATTAAAAAAAGGGTTTAAATCATCACACCGCATGTCTCATAAAAAAACTTAATGTGAAACAATGTATTTTTGTTTTCATAAAAAAAAAATCTTGAAAACAATTGCGAATCGAAAAAACAACGAAATTATGGAATTTTCTTAAGTACAATAAATGCCCCTGTAAGATCAGTCTATGCAGACAAAAAAATTATTCATTTGCACCATTATTTATGACTCTCATTAATAATAATCGGTGTCCTCTAACATTTGAAAATCGTCATTTGGTATTGCATTCGCTGCCGACCGATAATCTAAAACGGAAGAAATAAAATAATTGGATATATTGAACATATGAAAAAAATATATGGAAAAACTAAGGCAAAAAAAGCGGTTAACGGGGCAAAAAAATTAAATTGAATAAATAAAATCATGTCTCAACTATAGTTTAACTGTGAAGTTTATGTAATTTCTTTTTTATTATTATGAACAATGAGTTCAATGGGCCTGTTTGAAATTCGCATCTGAAATGCTAAATAAAAATTTTGTACTGAATTTTAAATTCTTCGTAAATTCTTCTCGTTTAAATCTAAAATAATTTCGCAATTTGTTATCAAATTTGACATATATCAATAATATATTTGTTGCTCTACCTCGCACACAAAAAAATATGCGGTCAAATTTAAACTGAATGCGGCCATATTTTCATCATTTTAATTTTTTCATTATATAATTTTGTGTTCTAGAATTGACCCTAATTAACCGCATTCATAGTAAATTTGACCACACACTACCTAATAACCGCCTCTTCATTTGATTTGACTGCATATTTTTGTGTGTACATTAGCTGAATACTTGGAAATGTGAGTATTTTGCTTTTGAATCGTAATAAAAAGTAATATAAAAAAATTCTTATCGCTTTGAACACATTCATTGAATATTGTTTGATTCGGTTTTGTTTTTTTTTGTGCCGTTGTATTTGTGTGCATCATTTTGCTCTATTAAATTTCTCTGATTTCGCGGTATTTGCTCTCTCTCTCTCTCTGTTTTTATCAATCAGACCTCATTGTAAAGCGTTCAGGGTTATTTAATGTCTTATCATTAAGTCCCCATTCACCATTTTGAAATGTGCGTGTTATTTGCAAGGTCTTACCATGCTTCGTGTCAAAGTTATCCAAGAATTTGTGAACAAAATAATGTAAGAAACTCAAACAAATTGCTGCCACACCGAATATCCGAAATGCGATTCGACCCGTGTAGGCTTTCATTAGGTAACCACAAATGAAACTTCCACTTGACACACCAACTCCTTCAAATATTGCGCCAACTAAGCCCTGTAAGAGAAAAATGGAATCGAATTTGGAGAAAAAAAAGTTGGAAAAAACTGTACCTGCAATGTGGCGCTTGTACCGCTGGGAGCAACAACATTCGCATACATTGTCATTGCGGTATAAGATATGCCGAATGTCATTCCCTGGCTAAACTCAATTGGTAGCACCCACCTGGTGAATGAGTTGAATGAGTGATTACATATTGATTAATTGTCGATTATTTTAAATTAATTCGATTCTTTTCTTTTGTAATTCTTCCCTTAGGTAGCACCCACCATGGATTTGTCAATAATGAATAGCAGATTAACCGAATACCCATCACAAATAGCACCAATGTCATTGCGTTTACATGTCCAATTTTTGTGATAAACCAACCGGATATAAAGAAAAATGGAAGCTCACCGCCAAAACTCTGTATACTATTTACAAGACCTTCCAATGTTTTTATTCGCTCTTGACTTTTGCAACTATGGACGAAAATGGAATGCATTGAAACATTTGAATGTTTTTTTACTGAGGAATGGAAAAAAAGTAGTGTGACTTACTCTCCATTTTGATCGGCGAGATCTTCAAGATACCAAAATAGAAAATTCCATAAAACTCCGATAAATACACCGATGGAAATGCACCAAAGAAAGAATACAATGACACGAACCGATCGAAATAGTCGTCCAATGTCTCGAATAATACTGGACGATACTTTGTTTGGTTTGAACTGTAAAGAATGAAAATAGACGATTTACTTTGATATTTTCGTCTCACAATATAAAATTTGCAAACTTACATCAAGACATGACGAAACTAATGTATCTGGCAAAAGTGCGGCGGTCATTAAATAAAAAATCACAGAAAAACTGAATGAGTCCACCAAAAATCCGGATAGTAATGCAAACGATCCCCATCCAATGGCACCCCATAACCGTTGATGACCATATAATTCGTGCCGTTTTCCAAGCAAATGAAAACAAATTGCATCACCAACACTAACAATGACCGCTATCGCAATCCAACTGATGGACAATGCGGCGAAAAAAAACCAAAATTGTGGATATGATGTGAATTTGGTGTCGTTCACTGATGGTTCAACGATTAAATCCATGACATTTGAATCGTCAACGAAACCGGTACATGTTAAACGAAATGATCCATCGTTTGAGGCCACACTACTCTTCGGACAAATTGAACTTTTTGCCACCGGTTTATCATTATATGTTAGATTTGGATGTAGGAAATAAATGCAATCCTTATCATTTTTCTCTTGCATTTTTTTTATATCATCATATTTAACCTGCGATTTTATATGAATTATATTATTTTCATTTCGTTTACAATTTTCATCACGATCCCATTCTTTACAAATGTGATTCCACATCCAATCTTCTTTCACTTCACATTTTAGCTGAAAACAAAGACGAATGAAATGATTCAAGATAAAAAAAATATTTGTCTCAATTGAAAGGGGGGAGGGCGAACTTACATCGAATGTATACACTTTGGTGATGTTTTTATTGGAATTTTGTAAAAATAAATCGGCCGCACAATGATCCATTGAACTGGGGCAAAATTTGAGATCAGCCTCATTATAACTACAATGGTAATCAATTTGTGTGTGTTTTGGTATCGGCGGAATGAATTGAATCGATGAAAATGCGCCAATTGCAATTACAATGAAAATTACAAACATCAATTTGTGACGCTGATATCTAAAAATTGATTAATGTCAAAAACATGCAAATTAATGTCGTATGCTAGTCGATAAAAAATTGTTTTGCTGCAGCCGCAATCCAATGAACAAACATTAGATGTACGTACCGATCGGCAATGACTCCGAACAAGGGTTTACTGATCAATCCCAATATTGGTAAAATAGAGTAAATGGTGCCAACAACAAACGTTGAAAATCCCAATTGACGTGCATAAACTGGCATATATGATACAACAGCTCCAGTGCCTATAATTCCGTAAAATAACAAAAAAAAAACACCGTGTAAAAACGATTAGTTTCTATCAGGAGAGAAAATATTTCGAAATTTGCGTGCTTTTTTTTCGAAATTCAACTAACTACGAAGCATTATCATCTCGAGTAAAACAATCAATTTAGTACAAAAACTGCACAATCTCATATCAAGATGACAGATAAATAAATTAGAATATTTTAGTATCGTGAACGTAACGTGGTTAATATTTCACGTTGTACCTCACCTGCATTGAATAAGAAATAGTGCGCTTTCATGGGCAGCAATTTTAAGTCAATATTTAAGCCCATTTTCAAATGGATTTTTTTTTATTGTACGTTGTTTATGCGACTCAAAATGCGAAACCCCTCGACTCCAAATGTGAATTTAAAATGACGTAAATTCAAAAAAAATTGAAATGAATTGCGTTCAATACAGAGTGAGTGATTGAAATTGGTTCGCGTCGTTATTTTCGGGTGGAATAAGTGCGTTAATACTGATCAATTAAGATAATTTAAAACCAATTGAATCGAGTTTCGATTGCTGAATCAAACAGCTCAATGGATCGATGTATTTTATTATTATTATTTTTGTCTCCTCTTTGGGTCGTCTTGACAACAAATACATGCCACACAAATCAAATGCTTAAGTAGCGTGCCAAATGTTGATTATTGTCCACATTATTTCGTTGACTTGACGAAATTCCGATTGATGCACACAAACTGTTTTCCATTCAATAAAAGAGTTCAATTTCATAAATTGAATGAAATATGTCGAACGAATGGATAAAATTTCCTCGTCGTTGTTATCAAATGCGATCAATTTGCACTCATACACACAGGTGCAAAGTGGCCAATTGAAAACAAAAAAAAAAGAATAAAAGAAGCAGAGAAAAAACAAAAACGTAACTTTGCCACTTATGTCAGCGCAAGCAGACAGAACTTAATGTTAAATGTTACTAGCTATATTCATCGTTAATCACCGCTCAACGAATGCTCTAAACTTACTACGAACATAGTTTTTTGCTTTGCTTCTTATTCGACAGAAATGACAACCACAACATTAACCATTCATTCATTGTACTCGACTAATAATCGTGTTTCACGTGTTTTTCGCAGAAAATACCACGATGTGCGTATTTGTGTGCACCACAATAGCCGCATACGTACACATACCATTTGATGTATAGAAAATATACTCATGTCTTGTCTGGCATACTTACGTTACCACTCATTCAGACTCTCTCTATGTATGCGTGTGTTTACTTGACAGATGATATTCACCACTTTTATCGCTTTTGTATGCACACTTTTCGAGTTTAGAAAACTCGAGTATTCAGCTCTTTATTTCACAATAAAATAAATTCGAATGTTTTTTTTTTTTTTTTTTTTTTCAATTTACGTCAATTTTTGCATTTCGCATTTTATTATTCTTTTTAATAATATCTTAAAACCTTTGAATTGAACTAACAATTTATCGAGACAGAGAGAAGAAAATAAACGGAAAAATATGATTCTTTGATCAGAGACAAAAAATAATGATAATATAATATTAATAATAAAAAACAAGATAGGAATTAAAAAAAGAGACAACATAGATTTCAACTAAGCTATTCTTCTGTGTTTCACTTAATATGATATAAACTGTGTGTATATATTGGCTTCCTTACTATTCTTGGTTCGTTTTTTTTTCCTTCCGATGAATCGCAAAATTTACAATGAAATAATTTTTTTTTTAATTTAAAAAAATGTTTTCTTACACAATATTCAATTCTATGAAGCAATTTGCTTTAAAAAATTAGCATAAAGAATTGATTCTATAAATTCTACTCCAACTAATAGAGTAATAATTGCTAATAATTTTTGTTTTCTTTTAAAAAAAAGGTCGCCTTTTAGAAAAAAGTGAGAAAAAAAAGAAAATAAGTATTAAAAATGAAAATAGAAATGCCGCTGATTGGTTTTGGTACGTTGATCCACAGAGCAGCCACGAAGCATGATAAGTTTTTAATGAATGATTGTTATTTCATGGGCTATTGCCGGCGTTCCCGCTGATGCATTCGTGTCTGCGTGTGTGTATGTGTGTTTGTGTGTGCATGGTTTATTTTTTATTGTTTGTTTTACGTTTTTCTATTTGTTTTTAGAGGATAAATAATTATTCACAATTCTATAATTAAATTTATTGTTTAAAACAATTCTTTTTCTTTCTGTCAATCAGATGTTTTGAGAACACATATAAATTAAAGGTAAAACATATTAAGGATTATTATCAATCGATTTTTTGTTTCTTTTTTGTTTGTTTCTCTATCTTGTACCACACTATATAAAAAAATGTAGTAATTCACTTAGCTCATTTAATGTTTTGTGGTTTGTATATGGGTGTGAGTGTGAAAAAATTTCTTTTATCAATTTCTTATGGGATTTTTTTGTTTGTTTGGGGATTTTCATTCCTAAAGGCTAAATTGATTCTCATTTTTTTTTCTTCTTGTTTTTTTTTTCTCAAAATCAATATATCGATGGAAAAATCTTTGTTTTCCTCATTTTTTTCTAAATTAAACTAAATTAAATACTATGTTGTGTGTTTTTAACATAATGTTTTATCAATTGCAATAAATGTTTGTTTTTTGTTTTAAATGTGAGTTTGTTTTGTTTTTATTGGTCGGGAGACTTGTATTACATATATTTATATGTATATATATATATATTTACTTCATTGTCATTTAAATTCTACGATCATTATTACTATTCTCCAATTGTTTTCTCAAATTGTGTTTTTTTTTTTTTTACATTTATTGAAACCATTATTTATATGGCTATTTTGTTTGTTAGTGATTTTTTAGCTAAATATTTTGTTTGTTTGTATTTCTTTTGTTGAACAATACCTTCTGTGCAATAAATTTGATTGTTGTTGTTGTTTTTAATATAGAAAAATTACCATCCGTATGGCTTGTGCATGCCAAGTGCCGGATGATAGCTAGGCTGTGGATAGCCCGTCGGTGCACTGTGTGGCAACAAACCTTGATTGGCAAACATCATACGCTGTCGATATTCTTCTGTGCGCAAATATTGTTGATAGATTTGAGAATTTGTGTATGGATGATGTGGTAAAAATTGATGATATGTCGGCGCTGGTGAGGTTGCTCCGCGTGATGCAGTTACATAACTTTTGTGAATTAAAAGAAAAAAAATTCAATTAATGATTAATTACTCTTACAAAAAGAAATGTAAAAACTAATATGATTTTTATAACTTATTATAGATGTATTGTTTTTTTTTTTTAACTTACGCTGGCGATCCGGCAGCCGTCGGAACACCGTTATTATCTGTATTTTGTTCAGGTTGTGCACTCGATCGATGCGTTTGTGGTGGTAGATAATATGGATTAGCTGAAGCACGATATTCATCTAAATACGGTGTATTTTCACCATAGATACCACCAAGCGCCAATGAACCGCTGCTGGTTGGACCAAAATTAAATGCACTGCCCGGCACGATGCTATTTGTCTTAAGCGAGATCGGTGTTGCTTCTGGTGGTGGTGTATTTTTAACTAAGCCCGTTTGACTGGGTGACTTTAGACCAGCATACGATTGAAAACCTAATGACGCAATGAAAAATGAAAATAATATAAAATAAAATGTTCAATACAGAGAACGATTAAATTTTGAAATAAATAAATATTAAAATAGTTTAAATGTGAACCACAAACCTTGTGCTGGCGCCGCTTGCAATGGATGCTGTGGATGTTGTTGACTCAGTATCGATGAATGAGCTTGAGGTTGTTGTTGTGGTATTTGATTTGGTGCTTGTGTATGGCTGTTATTCGAATCGAGCGTGTTCCAGCCCAAATTATGTTGTTGCATCATTTGATGATTGTTGATCACAGGCGGTGCTTGGGTTTGTGGTGGTAAAATTGATGGTGCTTGAACAGAAGTTGGCGGCGGTGCTGCTGCTTCGGCATTCTTCTTTTTACGCGTTCGTTTCGGTTTTGTTTCGACGGGTTGTGGAGCTGCTACCGTTGGCAATTTATACGGATGATTTAAGGTAGATGGTGGTGTTTGTGACGAAGATGGTGGAAGCACATTTTTTCCATAAATACTTTGTGCTACACTTGGATCTTTTGATGGATAATAACAATTTCCACCATTTAAATTGTCATCGACTAACGAATGAATGCGCATATTTGGATCATATGTTGGTACATCATAACGATGTGGAATGGTTGATACATTCAATTCGCTTGGTTTCATTCGATTATCATTTGGAATAGATGCCGTTGGCATTGAAGACATTGAATCCATTCGTTCGCTACCATACAATCCATGTCGTACAACTGCCGCTGATGGATCTGATAAATGTTTGTCGGTGTGATGCATTGATTGCGATTGATTCGTTTGGTTGTCAGTATCATGTGGACTGTAACCGATATGCGTTGCTGATTTATTGTCAAGCGAATAAATTGAATAGTTTGAATGCATCGATGGCGGTTGGTATGTGTTTAACAAGCTACTTGGTGTGGCATTTTCATTTTTACCACCGCCAGATGACAATGGTGTTGGAAATGATTTTGAGAAGCTCATAGTGGCCGCACGATTGAACATTTCAATCGCTTTTGTTGACGATATGTCATAGTTTTTGTTGAAACCCATTGGTTCAAACATACTGTGCTCATAGCCGTGCTGTTGCGGTGGTTTATTCAGTGAATCGATGTGTGATAGATCCGTTGGTTTATTACTAAGACTCGATTTATTGGCTGCCGATGTTTGTTTTGCATAATCCAAATTTAGAATATCACGTTGTTCATCGTCATTTGGTTTTGATTTGTCATGTAACGAGCTGCTGCTATTGATGACCGACGGTGCCGGTGGATCAACAAGATTTGGATAATGGCCTGAATACGCCTGCAGGCCATATTGCATTGAATTTGGTACGGTTTTGTTCTCAAGTGGCGGCTGCTGTTGATGTTGCGGTTGTTGCGTAGGCGAAACAGTATTCATTGATGGTATTGGACTTATGTGCTGTGACACAGGCTGAATTGGTTGTGGCGATGTTTTCGGCATACTTGCTATATGCTGCGTATGCACATCTTGACCGGCATTATTTTGATTGTATGGTGAATGCTGTTGCTGCATACTACTGTCCTGATATGGAGATTGCTGATTTTGATAAGGCGACGACACATTCGATTGTTGCGCATAAGGCGATGTCTGTGACTGTTGATATGGGGAGTTTTCTGATTGATAAGGTGAGTGCTGGCTCTGATAAGGCGATGTTGGATTTGATCCAACCGATGAATTGTAATCGGAATCCTGTGATTTTGGTTGTTTATACTGATCGAAATAGGATGGTTGCTTTTTATTGAAACCCAATGGAGCTTGATTTTGGTTTTGACTTTGGGTTTGATTCACTTTCACCGGTGACGTGTATGACATGCTACCATATGAATTCGAACTGCCTGACGTTGTTGTTGACACATACAAATGTTGCGCATAATTCGAATACGGTGATGCTGACGGTTGTTCACGTGGGCTACAACTCTTTTCTGGGCTACTTTTTGTTGTTGTATCTTGATAAAAACCGACACGCATCGAACCATTCATTGATGCATACGGTGATGTTGGTTTGGTTTGTGTTTCATCTTTTGGTGATGTCATGATCGATGATGCGCCCAATGGCGATGGATATGGAGCTGGATATGAACCACAAATTCGTTCATCAATACCAATTCGTGGACTGTCAGGATCTTGACTGTACGATGATCGTTCCGATATTGTACTGCCCGTACTGGCCTTACGCGTTCGAGTTGCTGGCAAAGTACTTTGCTCATTTGAAATGGTCGGTGAATTGGCCGATTGTGAATTAGAATTTTGTGATGATTCTTTTAACAGTTTATCCGGCTTCTTCGCATCGTCTTCTTCGGATTTTTTCTGTTTTTTCGGCACACCAAACGCTTTGAGCCACGCATTTAAATTTGGGGTGGCCGATTTATCACCGGGCGATTGTGTTTTTTCCGCCTTTTCCTTTTCCTCTTTCTCTTTGCGCTCTTTTTCACGTGCCATTTGTTCAGTTGACGTTACTATCTCTTCCAATTCCATGTCATCGGAGCAAGCATCTTTCGATACAGAATCACACAATAAATCGTCATCTATAAATTGAACATTTATCAAAACATTATAAAACATTATATCCAAATTAAAAATCTTAAAACCAAATTAAAAGTCTTACCTTTGGTATTTTCATTATCAGCAAAATTATGCTGTTGAATTAAACCGAATCCAGCTGTATTTAGAACGGTGCCTAAGCTTAATTTTGGTCCAGTGTCATCAGTTTCCTGAACTAATGCATTTTTTGCGTCTTTAAGTTTGTTCGAATTGGATGTGCCCAAAATGGAGATGTCTTCTTGTTTATTGACGGCACTATGAATGGTGCCGATAAGATTGCCTTTTGTTTTGCCCGGTTGCAATCGTTCGATTGTTCGATGAATTTCTTTTCGCTTTGGAATCATTGCGCTGATTTTATCTTTCAACGTTTTTCTCTTTGGCTCTTTATCACGTTTGTGTGGTCCCGGCGGAGGTGGAATGCCAGTCAATTGAATTGTTTGCTTTGGTGCCGGCTTATTTTCTTTTGCCGTCAAAATGCTATCATCATTGATCGATGAATGCTTTACTGATTTCGATGGTGGTGTTGTTGTGATTGTGGTTGTTGATGTCGATGTTGTTGTCGATGTAGATGATGTGGTTGCATTTGTTGCTGTTTTCTGTTGATGATCCGTAGTGGCACTTGTGAATGTAGTTGTTGCACTTGAGGTGGAATCATTTGTAATGGGCATTGGTCGACGAAAATCGGCCGGATCGAGTTTTGATGTGACCGTATCAAAATCGTAAAGTAAATTATTAAAACGTGTGGGTGAATTGCTAGCCGAATTAAATTCGGGAAACCGTGGTGTATGCTCAAGCCATCGATTGATGTCTTTTAATGTTTGCTCCGTTTCCAATTCTAATGCTTCCATATTTGCTGTTTTGTTCGTGTGTTTGCCCTTTTTATGGCCTTTGCCCACTTTCTCTTTTGGTTTTTTGTTTGGTGATTTTTTATTGCTACCATCAGATGTGGCATTCATTTCGACATCGGCGACTGTCGCAGTGGTATCTTTTGTGTTGGCCTTTGCTTTAGGTGGTTTTGATTCCCGCAGCAAATCAAATGGACTCTTTTCTTCAGTTTTATTAACGCTCGACGACGATTTTGCATCTGACAATTTGGTCAGCAATTTTTTACTTTGTTTATTTTTCTGCTTTAGTTTTTCAATGGTTTCTTTGAGTTTTTGATTTTTTTCTTGTACTTTCGATCCATCAGCAGCCGTTGTTGATGCGGACGTTTTATCCTTTATTTTTTCAGCATTTTTAACAATTTGCTTCCATTTGTCATCGTTATTCGATGCCTTTCCATTGTTTGCCGCACGATTACGGCGTTCTTTTATCAAATCGAATTTATCTTTCACACTGTTTGAATTTTCCGATGAATACAATGATAAAGATGGACTAGGGCTACGAGCTGCTGTTGCTCGATGGCTATTCGTTTTTGATGATTCCACATTATCAATTTTATTGATGGATGTGTTTGAGGCACTTTTTGAATATTTCTCATGTAAATCAACGGTGAAACGCATCGGTGAATTGGACAACGATGATGCATTCGACGATACTGAGGGCGATCTCGATCGTGATGGCGATTCATCACGTGCGGATGCTTTTTGTTGTTTTCCTTTGCCCGTAAGCTTTGTTTTCTTTTTATTGGCCGCTTTTTTCTCGCTTTGCTTTGATTTTATTTGCGTCGATTTTCTGTTGCTTTTTTTCTCCGTTTTCTTTTCCTTTGGACCTTTTGCTTTTTTTGGACTCTCTTTCTCCTTCACTATTTCATCGTTATCATCCTCTTGTTCCTTTTCCGCATCATCCACATCACTCAAATCCTTTGGCGTTTCCACTTCAGACAACTTTCGCTTTTTATTTGATTTCAATTTTTTCAGTTCTTTTTTGTTGCCTGCATGGCCGCCTGTCTTCGATTTTCCCTTTTCCGGACTTTTATCCGGACTTTTATCCGGACTTTTTTCCGGTGCTGTTTTTGTTGATGTTGACGCTTTTGTCGTCGCCGTCGTCACTGCCGTCGTCGCTGCCTTTGGCGTTGTCACTGCCGTCGCCGCCGTCGTCGTCGTCGTTGATTCGGTCACGTGCTTTGCCTTCTTTTTCTTATTGATGACCACCTCCAATTCCACATCAGATTCATCGTCAATTGGTTCTTGATCTTTTCTACCACTCTTTCGCCTCGTTATCGCAGCATTTGAATCTTTTATCGACTTTTTATCGATGGTTTTCTTTGATTTTTTCGAATCTTTTAATTTTTCTTTTTTGGCTCTTTTTGCTGGCACAACTTCTTCCTCATCCAAATCATCATTGTTGCCATCACCATCACCATTATCTTCTTCTTCTTCTTCTTCTTCTTCTTCCACTAATTCTTCTTCATCGCTATGTGAGCTGCCCACTTTCTCTGTTTTTCGTTTATCTTTAAACTTTTGCTTTCGTTTTCTGCCGCGTTTCTCGGTCGGTTTCTCTTCGCTTTGTTCCGATTTATCCAAATTCTCGCCCTTTTTTGACTTCAATGGTAAACCCTTTGAACCGATGATTTCTTTGATTTTCGGTGTTATTGTATTTTTTGCACTGTTGCTCTTCTCTCGAAAAACATTCGTTTTCAAATCCGGATACTCCAAATCACCATCCTCATCCGATGAATTTTGATCGAAATACTTTTTAGTGGCTTTTTCAAATGCATGCTGCAAATTATTCACCATTTCCGTATACTCTGTAAAATAAATGTAGATTGACGTGAAAAATGCAAGAAAAACAAAACATGAAAAGCAATTTTTTAAGTTTCCGAATGATTTTTTTCTTTCAATGACTTACCATTATTTTGTCCATTATACAAACGGCAATTATTGACTATTAGCTTAAAATCGTTTCGAAAATCGGTGAATGTCATGTATTGTCCACTTTCTAAACGTTCATCCATTTGCTGAAGATCCATCGGCCTGCGAGTAAAGTAAATGCGACCAAACATAATCGTTTTAATTAAATGCTATGATTTTCATTTTAATCATCTGAATACATTGACAATGGACAATTACCTGCGAATTATTGAATAATATCGTGGTGCAATATCTTCTTCAACCGGATCCATGAATGGCCATGCATCCTTGTGGTTTTTGACATGTTCGAGCACTTTATGCATTCCAATTTGTAAAACTTCTTCCGTTTCCGTAAGCCTGGCATGTTAAAGAAATCGCATTTTATTTTTAAATAAACACAGACGGATATTACTCTCTTCTTCTCCATTTTAGGTCATCATAAAATTGTGTTACTTTCTATACTTACACTGAACTAGATGATGCTTTTTGTGTGGACGTTGTTGTTGAGTTGCGTGCACTTTTTTTCTCCGTTTTGGCATTACTATTTGTTTTACTATTACTATTCGGCACTTTGGTCGATTTTTTCGACTCGTTTGCTGTTTTGCCGGTGGAAGCGTTACTATTTGATTGTTTGGATTCATTTGATTTCAATGTTGATGCCGACGTTGAATTGGCAATGCTAAGATGTCCGCTCATCGAAGACAATGAATTATTTGTTTGTCGGCCACTTTTGGCCGCTTTCTTGGTTGCACTTATCGTCGGTGACATATTTTAACTGTACAAATATTGTGATTGTTGTTGGTTTTGCTTTAATTTTCTTTCGGCGTTTGATTTTTGGTTTTTGTTTCATGTGGGAAAATATATAGATGAGATGATTCAGTTTCCAAAAAAATTTTCAATTCAAAGAATCAACACCGCACACAATTGTTCTATATAGATTTTGTGAATCTGTGGAAACAAATGGAAGAGAGAAAAACAAAAATTACACTTTGAAAATAATTTGATTAAAAAACAAACAAAAAAGAATCTCTTAAATTATACAAATTGACATAACACATTTGTGATTTAATTGAATTATGAATCGCAGTCGAACAATTGAACAGTTGAGTTATAATTTTAGTAAAAGATAAATTGATCGTGTATTAGCTTGTATTATTGAAACAATCAATATTTGTGACTCTCTGCCATTTATTCGTTTTTGTTTAACTTTTTCCCCGTTTGTTTACTTAATACCCTTTTATTGGCATATCGATAATCGACCATTTAAATGATAGCGACTTCATTGTTTTGTACAATTTAAATTCAACTTTCTCACTCTATCTCTCTTTCTATCCATTCTAATTAGATTGATTGATCGAAGTGATGTTGCTGAAATATGCATCGAAAAATCAATCAACTAAACCAAATTTAACCGGAGAGTCATAACATTCCCTTTCTCCCGCATATCTTTTCTCTCTCTCGCTCTCTCTCTCTCTCTCTCTCTCTCTCTCTCTCTCTCTGTGTGTGTGTGTGTGTGTCCAGTCCAAAACCGGTAATAACTAAAATTCCTAATTTTCTTCGGTTAACTTCCATTTTTTTCTTCAATTAAATGCATATGCTGTATACAAGTGACTAATTTTGGATTAAGATTGAGTAAAAAATGAAATGATCATTAATCAAATAAAATGCATTAAACTCAGTAGCATTTCACTGGTGAGTGTTTCAAAAAATTTGACATCTTTCATATATATACAGACAAGACTCGCGAAGGAGAGAAATAGCCGATTTTTTTGTGATAAAATAAAATGCTTTCACACGATGATGCAAAATATAAACAAACATTCACAGATGATTTTCATCGCTTGCTTTAGTTCCTTTCACTTGTTTGCTGTATTTCACAACATACACTGTGTATGTGTGCGCGTGAAAGACAATATTGCAATGCCTATGGTTCTAAAGTCAGATCTGTATGTTATGGACTGTCAACTGGATAAACGAAACGACAACGAAGATGATGACGACGAAACAACGTCCGAACGAGAAATATAAAAAAACACACACACTGTACAGTGTAGCACATGCATTTACAATTTTTGCGCGCAATTGTCAATTTTCGGCATTTGCATTTATACTTGGCATGATGTTGACATGGTGATGTAGCGCGGAACTAGAATATGCACATCAGCTCTCATACACATATACAGTCACGCACACAGAAGTTCATATGTAAAATAATAAAAACAAAAACACACCGATGATTTAAGTCAAACGCTCAATTTGCATCTCACGCCGTATATTTACAGTTTACAATTCGAATATATCCAATCAAAAAAAACCACATTATCTGGCCCGTTATTTCATTGCTTTGATCAGAGTTTTTTTTTATTTCGAGTTCTTTCGTTCTCTTAATAAATTATCTCTCATCGTATGCATCAAATACCACGCGTACGACGTGAACATAAAAGATCTATCTTTCTCTCAGGCTAATCGAAAAAATTATCCAACACAAAACACACTCGAAGTAGCAAAAAAAAAAACAATCAAACTAACTGAACCGTGACTTCAATACACATATACAAACAATTGTCAAAAAAAGAAACAAAATTTTCACTTGTTAGCAATTCATTCGCGTAAATTCATACTGTGTATGCGTTTTTGGTTTTTCAATTATGGAAAAAAGTGCCCCGAATACGAACAAGAAAAATGAATAATAACACTCGTTGAGATACAAATATTCACAACACTCGAAAGCGACACGACAAACATTTAATATGACCAGAAAAAAAACACAACAAACCGAATTAAAGCACACATCAAAAATTCCAACCAGCAGCACACCGTATCAAAACATCAAAATATTAGATTTATATATATATATATACTCAGTCGTTGCGTATATGCATGCGATTGTATGAAAAATCTTCTTTCGACGTGAAAATATAGATCTTTTCTCCTTCTCTAATCATCCATACCGATTGATGAAAGAAAAACGAATTGGGCGCGCTATGTTTGTGTGTTTGCTATTTTGTTCGTTTGTCGTTTTATTTTGCGCTGTGTAGTTTTCGTGAATGTCGATTGATATGATGATGGCCCGGAATGATGTGAAGAAACGGTACCAGTACAAATGTATATCGAAAACATATCGAAAAATACACAGTTAAACAAACTAAGTTGCGCGCATATACAAGCAATGAACATGATATTCATTCACACTCTGTCTCTCACTCTATCTCTGTCCCTCTTTCCCGAACATACACAAATTGTGTGCAAACATATACGCAAGAGAACACTGTGTGTGTGCTGGCACAGCTTCTATCTCTCGCGCGCCAACCAATACACAGTACATTATACACGACGGGGGGACATATTCATGCACATGCATTGACTTGTCTGCTTAACGCGCGCGTTTTTTCTACTGCTCCATGTGAAACGCTGCCTCTTTCTCTCTCTCTGTTTCTTTCAATATGTCTCTTTGTGCATCATTCTCTTTTTGATTTTGATGCAAAAACACTTTGCACGAGAGAAAGATGCAGAGAGTGGAGAGAGTTTTCTATGTTATAATGTATTTTCCGAGTGTTTTATTCGTTTCGTTTCTTGTTTTGAAGTGTGTTATTGTTGTTGTGGTGCATATGTTCATATGGATAATCTTCTACTGAAAAGTGGCAAAATGTATCTAGAATGCCGAAAGGGAAAATTAAGAGGATAGCCGAGTTATACATGGAGAAATGCCAACATATTTCGGTTTGTTTGTCATTTAAATCATTGTGATTCTTCTTTTTCTCTTTTATTCTCATGATTCTCTATGGACAAAAACAAACATAGAAAAATGTTACTTATTGTTTCCACGCGCGAACACAATATGTTTGACTGTTGTTTTCTTTTGTCGTCGTTGTTGCACAATTTGCATTGTCGCTAGTACTCCAAGACAAAGAATGACTTTGGCATTAGGCAAACTTTTTTAGCATGTATGCACTTAAATACGTTCAATAGGTGGCCATATTATAAAATAGCGCCAGCAATAAAAGAAAATCCAAAGAAGAGAAAAAGCAGTTTCTTTTTCGTATGACGCCATGAAAACGGCACACAGAAAGAAGCCATTCAAGAAAGAAAAACGCTCGGTGGGGGTGTGAAATGGTAAAAGACACACATACAGAAAGCGATTGAAAATTATCCAACATTAATGGATCGCATTAGATGAAACAATTAATGCATTGGCATTAGTATACACATAAATTGGTCGGTGGAAGTGACTATGAATTTGATGTATGGGCGTGTGTGTGTGTGTGTATGTAGGTATGCGTATGTGTCATCTATTCATCAATCACGTAAAATTGAGTCCATACTGTTCGCTAAATGCACACACCAACGAACGCTTACAAGGTATTGATCATCAAAGTGAACGCAACGCAAAATGAAAAAGAAGACGATGATGAAAATGATTGCATACTATGTGGAAATGAAAAGCCTGAAGTGTATTACTTTGGCAAATACACTCTCAGGCACATACATTCGATGCGCTGTGCTCTGGCAAACTGACAGAAAAATAATACAACATACGACACAGAAATAAATACCAATACTGTGCTCAATTTATTTTGTATACCGTTTTTTTTGTGTGTGCTGTGCTCTTTTCTCTCTCATTTTTTCTCCAATTTTCTTCTCGCCTCATTTGTACAACAATGAATACATGCTCATTTCTCTATGATTGTGTCACACAAACGCGCGCATATGGGATTACAAATGTATGGGTGCGTGTGTGTTCATTATCTATGTGTTCGTATGTATGTGTTAATCGGTTGTATATATATATATATATAAGTACTAAATACAGAATGACATGATACGTGTACAAGTCGCGTTACGTGCCATAACTGGTAAAACGTGAGCGAACCATCGTCGACTGTGTTCGTTTTCATGCACTCGTATTTGTCTCTCTCTCTCTGTGTGTGTTTGTGTGTATGTGTGTAATTTTGCTGTTTGCTAGTGAAATGCCACCAACTGAAATATTCACCGCACGCTCGAATTACGCGCTCCAACACACTTAATATCATCAAACTCTGTTATTACATACACATGCCGTGCGCGCTGTTTATTTCATTACATTACACTGATATTTAATATATAGAAAAAAAATTATTTTGTATACAAAACGACATTCTAATATACAGGCAACGAAAACAGCATGCGAACACATAAACGAACAACTCTTTTCTCATGTCGTGTTTGATTGGATATTGTTGTTGTGTTTTGACAAATCGAACGAATGAAAAGATGAAAAAAAAAAACATGGGGTCAATTTAAAAGCCTTTTCACACATTTTCCAGTTATGGTGTTTTTACAACATTCAATGGTTCGTCATTTCATTTTGACAGAAATTCCGCTTTATCGACCAATTCAATCAAACATAGTTGGCCTTTTTTCGGCCATAATTGCACACTGAAGAAATCACGAATTCATTCATAGAATATTGCGTTTTCTGTATATAATTTTTTCGCTGCATATTTGCCAAACATAGAATTTTTCTTTCGATGTGCGCGCAATTCAAACACGGTGTCAATTTTCCATCCATCCATCTTTTTTCATCGAGCGGGGACGACAACAACGATTTCCGTACATAGAACGGGCATTTTGATATATATATATATATATATTATGTATTATGTACATATATGTTGAATATATTGCTTGTCTATTTATTTCCCTTATTATTTTTGTGGCGTATTTGTTTATCATTTTCAATTTTCCAGCTTCTGTGTGCCGCGCATACATACATGCACGCATATCTGTCTCTTCACATTTTATATAGAGAAATAATTTTCGAACATTCATTTTTTCGCAATGCCCTTTCGGTATCGTTTGAGCTATATCTGCCACTGCTGCTAATGCTGCAGAGGCTTTAGACTCCAATTAATTTCAAGTGTGCAAATTTCAACATGTTCATCATTTTTCATAACATCGAACACGAATGAATATTAATTTTAACAGGATTTATGCATCGAATAATAAGGGGATGATGTTCATGATGTTCAATGTACATTCTATTTGAAAAAAAAAATCGTTCATTTACTTGCATCAAATCCATTTAACCGTGCCGAAACATAAAATTTTAAATTCTGACACGAAGAACATTCGCCGTTAGCGAACATTGTTTTCGTTTATGGCGTAATCAAGCAATACAGATACAAAGACTTCTTTTGAAGGATATGATTCAATATATTTTCATTTGCTTCTGTTTCGCGTTTCCAACGTCTTCTTTTTTCTCTGGATCTTTTTATTTTTTCAATTTCCCGTAGCATAATTACGAGGTCCGTCATTTGATTGCATTCGAAATCGAAAGCGCGCCATTGATTCAAATGCTTATGTATTTATCGCACTCTGCGTGTGTAAACATGTGTGCTGTTTTTGTTTTGGTTTGATTTGATCGAGAACACGCAAAATATCGTATAATCTATGAACATATATCCATTGTCTTGATCGTAATCAACAGTATAAATAATGAATTGATATGAATATTGCACTAAGTGTTCTCCCTCTCTTGCTGTTTTGAAAAATGCACATATCATTGGACGAAAAGTGACACCTTTTCTCAGTGGTTCATGTTGAATTTCGTATTATTATTGTTCTTTCGTGTTTTAATTAATACAGACATTTGCTGAATGCGCGCACTCATACAAATTATGCATGATATATACATGTATATTCATGTGCTCAATGTTTTTGTAACTTATACACATACACACACTCTCTCTCTCTTTCTTTCATTCATTTTTTTTGTTTAAATCGTGTGTTCATATATTTTGGTTGGCATTGCGTCGCATGTGTGTATTGGTTTGTGACACTCACTACTTTGGCTACTGGTTTTGCTGGTGTTGTCACCACTTTCGAACTATTAAATTTCCAATTAAGAATTGAACCGCAATGATGATGACGATGATATTCACATGTGAATGGAAATCGAAAACATTGTAGACAGAAATTCACATACATACACATACACATAGAGAGAACAACAAGAAAGCAAGTAAGCGCGCGCGTACACACAATAACAACCACCGAAAAGCGCAAAAAAAAAACAGAACAGAGTGAAGAAGAAGAAAAAAAATTAAATGGTTGATGTGTATCAAATAACTGCAAATCAGACCCTATCATACAACACTTTGACATATCGTGAGGAAGCGAACTAAACCAATTTTTCCCGTAGTTGTCGTCATTTTCATACATTATTATTTCGTTATTGAAATTTCTATCATTACGTACATTTTGTTTATTTTTATATTTTTTTTATAAAAACGCTTTTTCTCTCTTCAAAGAGTTAGTTCTCTTTCCTTTTATGCCCGCGCGTGTGCATGCATGTGTATTTCGGTTTCAATTATTTTGTTTGGATTACTCTTTTTTTCCGGATTGGATATAGTTGATTAACTTGTATTTCGGAAGTAACACGTACGAAACAAAAAAACATTGTTGATGAATTGTTCCAATTACCATCAATTTATCAACTGGAGTATTGTTTTCAATTGTGGTTTGTTTCTTTCGTTATTTTCTCTCTCTTTTTCTCTCTCTCTCTCTCCGCTCTCTTTCCACCTCTATCTTTCTCTCTGTTTCACTTGCACTCACGTTTATAGGCACTATATACTTTGATATACTTATATATGTAATTTCAATCGATTTGATTCAATCGAGTCTGGTTTTACACTTTTGGACGTGTATTACATACTTTGGTTTTAATTCGGTTGAAATATTTGTTTTGATGCACACACATAGTAATTCGCGAATAGTTTGGTATTTACACATAGAATCGAAAATTTCAACATTAAAAACAAATAAAAATACGAAAAAGAGAGAGAAGACACGCGACACGATCGAAAAAATTTATGTTCGTGGCTCTTCTCTGTTGTCTCTTTCTCTCTTTTTCTGTTTCACCTCAAAAAAAAATCCAAAATATACAATGTCCAACCAAAAATTGAACACCAAAAACCAAAAAACGACACTCACACATGTAACAATTTCTTTTTGAGTTTCAATTTTTTTTTTTATCGACGAATTGTATCAAATCGTCCACAGTGTGTGTTTGCGCTTCTTTGTTGTTATTTAAAAAATTGACGGGGAAAAAAGGTCAAAATTTTCGTTTTGAACTCACTCATAATAATTTTCACAAACGCATTGCCCGTTACTTTTCATATTTTAAGTTTTCCATTTCTTCTTTCGTCTTTTCTAATTTAAATTCTCTGCAATTTAACACACACAAAAATTATTGTTTAAAGAAATGTTTTTCAGCCAGCGACAACAGCGATGAAGAACTATTTGGAACCGAAACAAGAGAATATAACACGAAAAATCGAACGCAAAATAACCGAAAAACCGAAAAACGAAAATAAAAGACTAAAGAGACTTCGGAAATATTGAATTGGTCTTTCGCTGATAAAACAAAAATAATATGACGCACACGGTACGGATGAATTTTTCTAAATGGTGCCTCTTTTCGTAGGTAGGCAGACATCGACTGAACTGACGTAAACGTTGTTCGCCGTCATCTGTTGGTGTGTATTTAGCACACGCACACAAAGTGTAAGTGTGTGTGCACTATTTTTTTACATTCATTCTATTCAGTCCCCAATACAGTCAACCGAATTCATGTCGATGCACAAAGTTTAGGACACGGAATGCGCCTCGAATTTTAACCGATTTCAATGACAAACATTCGATGAGAATGCAATCTTTTGGAAATATTTGTTTAAAATTCATGTTTTTACTATGGATTTTAATTATGTTTGATACATTTTTAAAAAAAGTTTCAATAACTGTTGCTCATTGTGACCTGCCTTACTGTAAGTTGCAGACATTTTGTGTTAACCGATGTCATTGATGAGTTATTGTTGTGGAATTTCTGTACTAAAGCATTTAACTATTACAACACTATGTACTAAAGCTGCTTAAAGATTTTTATGAGAAATACACCATTTTTGGACATTTTTCAAAGATTTTGGTTGGTATTTTTCACAATAAATTTCAAAAAAATTATAATGCTTTGAATTATCAGATTTTTTTTTTGTTTTTCCCGTTTCTCTTACCAACTTTTATAATAATACACACGACGTATGAAGTCTTAACGTCCATTAAATTTCGCTTTAATATCGAAAGCAATCGTAAGAGTGTGAAAGTTGGCCGATAGATGGCATATAGTGAATAGAATGTGACTTTCGTTCGCTTTGGAATTATTATTCGTGACTGGGAAGATGCACGTTGATAATACTGGAATGAGATTTGAAAATCGTTTGATTTCAAATCAAATTAACGACCACAATAGAAAATGTGATCAAAAGCAATGTTAACTGATTGTAAAGAGACAAACAGATAAAGAGTACTACTACTACTTTCTGATAAAATTCAATTTTATACGCTTTGTATACATTTGCTTAACAAATGTTGAGTGCTTTTTTTCATGAAAAAATGCATGGTGAACACATTAGAAAAAGTAGAAATGGCTATATTTCCCTGTTTAATTCGGAACCCATTCAAATGAAATAATTTTTTCATTCAATATGATTCAAATCTTTCAGAAAATTGCAAATATGGAAAATGCATGCGTATTATTCTATGCAAATGTTTGTATATCAAATCCAATTCATGAATACAAACAGATAAGTGTCATATTTTGCATATTTTATTGACCGAAGGAAGGATATTGAATGGTCAGTAAATAATAGATGTGTTTCTTTGCATTCACCATGTTGCTTGATGCATTGAATCGATTGGCATCATCCTTGAAAGGATAGAGAAAAAAACAAAGATATTGTTATTATCACTTGAATTTATACAGCGACTGCTTTACATGCGATAAACTCTCAAATGGACCAAGAACTACCAAATAAATAAAAAGAAAAGTCCACATAACTTAAAAAAATAGTTTCATACAATTTGCATAAAAATTGTTGATAAAATAACGAATGTTAAGCGTTTTTGAGGATGCACATTCATTGTGCTTGAACATCCCTTTGGAGTGAATAAATAAATATAGAGCTGCAAGATAAGTACCAAATAAACTAAAGACAAAACTATTAAAATTATATGCAATGAAAGTGTTTGCAATGAAAAAAAGCGCGCACACACACCTAGGTGACGTCAATCCGTTGCACCGATTAGCATTAAGCTATAGCCTGCCAATCACGCAATGAATGCCGACACTGAATTATGTCTTAGTCAGAATGTAGCTCGGGTGTATAAATGTGCTTGTATTCGAAGCAATTTCAAATTTATTCTGAATCGGTTTACATTGTGGTGGCAATATATGCTATGGTAAAACACGAAGGATGCTGCTATGAAACTCTTGATAGAATGCGATGTGTGAAAGTGTGCTTGGTCAAAATGGGAAAAATTGGCTAAGTGTGTGGTGGAACGCATGCGCCCGGCTTTTTTAGTTTCATTGCAACAGTGTGTGCGATGATGAGTGAATCAAATTTCCCCGATTTAGATTGTTTGGCGTTTTATTAAGCATTCTCATGAGATATGCGCATAAATACTGTTGCTGTTGTTGCTGCTGCTGCTATGTTGCTGTTGCTCATCGGTGGTTGTGTTTGTGTGCAAGCAAAGTCTAACGAAAAGAAAAAAAACCAATTGTATTCGATGCGACGTGCAGCACATTTGTGTGCTGGTTGTAATCATTTTTATACATTTCAACTCGCATCATCATTTTATAGTTGAGTTTGCTGCTATTCTGTCAAATTGCTATCACACTCATTTATAGTGGTGCAATTCAATTCTCACTTGTGTTATACATATCGTTGTGATTTTCTTGTATTGTGTACTATGTCGATTGATTCCGCGCGCTCTTGCCATGTGCATGGTGAGTTTTTCGTATTCATTTGAAAAATAGAATGTATAAATGTTTGTTGTTTTTTTACCTATAGAGTACATTTTTATGGGTATACAATTATACATACAAGCGCTGTATGTGATAAATTTTTTTCGGCACTCAGTCAGTTCACTCTTTGATGTGCAGTGAACATGTTGTTTTCCACGTTCATTCCATTTAAAAATTTATTTTTTTGTAACACTTTGAATTAAATTGGCGTTATTGTTGTTTTTCTTCTTCTTCGTACACGTTCAGAAAAAAATAAATTCGCTTCGTGTTAGGAAAATATTTAATTGTCGATTTGAATTGTCATTGAAGTTTCTTTTCTCGTGTTTTCATATTTAAGACAAAGAAGATGTGTATCGAGATGTTGCCGAAATTCCATTGTGGAGCATTGTTTACAAGGCCAAACTGTGATTTATCATCAACATTGCGCTCACTCAATAATTACGTTGAATTGAGAAACGAGAGAAAGGAAGTATTGCTTAAGGTTTAAATAGCTTTAAATTTGAGCATTTTTCGGCAAGAAACAACGTCGCATAGCAGAAGACGAATTTAACAGCACAATATACAAATAAATTATATCTAATTCAAAGACAACAACAAATTTGAATGTGAGTGTACTTATATTATATATATATACAGTATTCTGCCACTTGCTTTATATTTTTAAGACTATATTTGAGGAACCCTGGTATTCTCTACACATTTTTTAAATTCAATATCTTTGTGTGTTTTACCTATCTCGATGGTTGTTGTCGTCGTCGTTGTTATAGTGTATTTGATTGAGTTTGCACAAAAGTATCGTGAAAGTTTGTTGAAAATAAAACAATATACAACATTATGTAGTTATGTGTTTATGGTACCGAAATGTCATTTTTACTTTCCCGCCCGGAAATAGTGTGAAGGGAAAAGTCTTGTAATGGGGCCTAAAAATAAAAACTCTCAAAATGGTCGGAGATGACCTTTTCTGGGTTAAGGTGCATTTTCCAAGGCGACGATTGCAATCGTCCACGATTGATGAAAGGGATGAAAAATTAATCGATTTGAGACCAGGATGTTGTAGGTCTGTTCCACGTTGTACGTTGTACGTGACCGTTTTTGTTCAATCATTATCTCTTTTCTCGTGATAGACTCCATCATGGTCTTACAGTGCATAAAAATTTTATTTTTGAAAAATTTGTATGGGGGATGTCAAAATTTGTTAGTTTTATGGTCAAATTTGGATTCCTCGACCCAAAATTAGAAGGGATAAGGTAACTTTGATGTTGGCCATCATGGTCTTCCATGACAACCGTGTTATTTATCCAATTTTCAGTCTATTTTTGATCTTTTGAACAATAAACTTGATAATTTTGGTCGACCTCAATAACCGTGTTAAATGATGTTAGATCATGGTCTAACACCATTTAACACGGTTATTGAGGTCGGCCATCATGGTTTTAACCAGGGACCGGGTCGCATATAGAATTTATACTTTGTATAAACACAGACGCAACATATCCGTCGCTGTTCGCTTTGTGCTGCGCTCAATAAATACAATGTATGTGCTTGCGTCTTTCAATGGTCACATGCACACACGAACATGTATTCGCATGCTTCATACATATCGATCATCGATGGATATGTTGCGTCTGCGTTTATACTTTGTATAATTATACTGCCTGCCTTTTTTTTGCTAGTATAAAATTATGCGCGACCCGGTCCCTGGGTCTAACACCATTTAACATGGTTATTGAGGTCGGTTAAACGTTTTTCGTGAATTGAGTTGTTTTTGTATATTTATCTCATGATGTACACGGCGGAAAAGTTCGTCTCACAGTGTAAAACTTTTTTTGTAAAACTCATTTTTTTTCTAATGCATTTAGAAATGCATTCATTTTACTAATAAAAAATGATAATTATTTTGCTACACATATATAATTGGCAAGCATAAGTACAATTTTTGACACTTTTCTGGTGCATTTGCATTTACGAACGATTCATATGTGACTGAATCATATTGCTCGCTAGACTGGTGTGCGCACATCAAACTTCTTCCGTTGATTTTAATCAATTTTTGTTTCCCTTTGTCCGAATAAAAAAAAGCACAATAGACAAATTGACAGTTGAGTTCATAGAGAGTAGATTTTGTGGTGTGATTAATTTGTTTGTTCAATTGTGTAAAAGATTGTTTCGAGTGTTCTCTTCTCGTTTTGGATATAACAAAATTGGTTATAATGAGGGCGTAACGGATTCCAATTATGATAATAATCAGTGCGATAATGAATATACAGACCGGGCGTAAGCTAATTCATTGTGGGGTTTTTATTTATTCTCCAATCTCTATTTCAATGCATGAATCGTTTAGTATGTTCGCACGATTGTCAACAGAAAAAAGTATATGATGCAGGATCGTTTATTACTTATCGGATTATTTTTTTTATTCAGTGATTAACACGTTGTGAAATGTCAACAATGGTTAAATACCTCTAACATTGAACAAACAAGGGAAACAAGGGAAAAAGAGTGAAAAAGAGAACATGCAAACAAATTTTAATCAAAGTTTTTCGATTTTAATTGAATTGGATATCATTTCTCCAATTAAATTTTTTTAAATTATTTCACAGTTGAGCCGTTTTGTTTATAACAGATTGAATCGGGTAAATGAAATGAGAGTGATAAATACCAGTTTGGCTAATTTCGGTTTCGGTTGTGTGGTATTTTATGGTTTGTGTGGTTGCTTTCGAATGAACAAAATACAGAAAACAAGATCATGAATGCAACTCATTGTTTTAAATCGCAGCAAGTGAGAAAAAGAGAGTGAAATGTGGAGTACATTAATTTGAATAACATTATAATTTTCGCTATTAAAACCATTATTTGTATATTTGCAATGCCAAATGCAAAGAATATATACTTGAAATATATTTTCGCTGCAATTGACCGTTGTTCGCGCTACATGTACGTGTAAATGACGCTCTTCACTGTTATGCAATTATAAATAAAAAAACCTTTCTATGCTTCCACAAGTAAATAAATTACATTTTGACTATATGCCAAAAAAAAACGACACCAAAAGCAAATTGTTATTTCAAGAATATAATTAGTGGAGTACATGTGTGTGAACTAGATGAACTCGACTGACGATATTAGGAGCACACGCGATATAAGATTTTAATCGGGTCGAATCCATACAATAAAATTGTTGTGGCCACATGAATAAAGCGCGCGACATTTTTTTAAACTGAAATTGCTATATTTCATGCTTACTTCGTGATTCTCTCCCCGAATTCCAAATGGGTTTGCATTATTCTCAAGAAAGATTCATAAATCAATTCAAATTAATGCGATTATTTCGAAATGTGTGAATAATTACTTGATCGAATGCGTTAAATTTCATTTTGGCATCATCATTAAAGTTTTATCATTTCAAATGCTTTTTTAATGTGATATAATGTAGTTACATACTAGACAGATGCTTCGATCCGAGTCGTGCAAGTGTTGTATAATATTTGTTCATTTTGTTTGCAATTGACGCAGTAGCAATTGCAACGAGATGCCGTGTCTAGTGTCATCAATGATGAAAACTCTTTTTCTTTTTTTTGCACTACTTTTTATTGTTTCAAACCATTTGAGTTTTATACTCAAAAACTCTTTGCATCTCTCCGTCTCTCTATCTCTAGAATTCCTCTCAGATTGTATGTCGGTGGAATAAATGTGGTTATTTCCCGCATAACATTAAATGATCATGCAAAGTAGTTCAAATTAAGCAAATTTACTTCATTTCTAATGTGTTGATTGTGAACTGTTGTTGCATTATTTTTACTCCAATCGGTTGGAGGTTGCTGCTTCTGTCCCTGTTTGTTTCTTATTTTTTCGTTTGCCAATTCATTTGGCGCGTTAGTTTTTCATATGAGAATTTCTTATCCAATCGCTTAAACAATGTATGCTCAATTTTTGCTTTGCTTGTGTCGGAGCAAATAACACACAAAAAACGACTCTCATTGAATAATTGATACGTTTACATGCATTAAAATTCCAAAACAATAACTGTACAATAACATGTGTATTCGCTATTATTTCGACTAATAGATTTGGAATATATTGATTTTATTGTTTTTGACGTCGTCGTCGTCGTCGTCGTCGTTTTACAATAGCTGCTGAGAGTTTACCCTTCGATATCAATTGTCTGATGGTCGACAACACACGTGAAATATTTCCCATGCTCTTCAAAACATGGCTTACTATCCATCCACTTGCAACTATTCAATTCAGTTTTGTTAGTTGTGTTGAACTGTTTGCAGCTTTTTGTTCACTTCACAAAAATCCCAAAGTTTATTTCACTTGTTTTCATAGTTACCGCGGTGACGAATCAATACTCCCTTATTTTATTACATATATGATAAATAGAATTCAGAAATTATATTTTGTGTCACAATTTATTGTAATTTTATGATGTGATTCGATTTTTTTACGGCATTTTTTTCTTTTACTAGAAGAAACGTGTTGGTTTTGTGATTTAGCAAATTCATTTTAAATGGCATTTTACAATGGCAGAATATATTGTTTTTCATTTTGTCATTGAATCGGAATATTAACGTTAAAATGTGAATGTCAAAAACGATTAATGAAAATTTCCACAAATCGTGCGGAAATATTCATGATCAGTTTTCTTGTTGCTTGAGAAAAAGCCTGAACTGCATTCAAAGTATGTTTTTACAAATATTCATTGTTTAGAAGGTTGTTATTAATTCAAGAAACCATGTATATTTACGCAGCACTTAAGAGAACATATAACAATCGACTTTGGTCGAAAGTGTGGCTTCGATTAAGCGAAATTTTCCCATTTTCCATATTTCAAAAAAAGGTGAGAGAAAGTGCCAATAGTACATTGTGGAATAATGGCAAAGTGATGGCTGCAAAACAGGGGGTAACATTTATGCATTACACGCGATGCAATCCGCTACATATACATATATATTTACGGTCGTGAGAACCCTTGCATTCAATTAATCTAATGGATTTTAGATGGTTGATTGCGTCAGAATTTGTAATTTTATGGGTTTGGTCGAAAAGTTGTCTTGTGAATTAAAAAAAAACAAACACGACTATTATTGCACTAAGAATCGCATTTGAAACATTGAATTTGTGTCATAATGAGTGTTTTCTTTGAATTTTATGCTGACGACAATGCACGTCCACGATTATCTGTAATGCAAACATAAACAAAAACCCTGCGTTTAATGATTAGATAGGACACTGAGATTAGCTTGATATATTCTAATCTAAGTCACAATCATGTAATGGTCAAAATATAATGGTAAATTTTATTCCATTCCCAAAAAGAAGTACAATTAAGAAGAATAATTAATTTTTCGAAAGGTCGATACAGTGAATCCATCTAATTGGTGTAGCGAATCTGTGGTTTGTATGATTTAAAACACCTTGGCACAAATTACATGTATTATGTTGATGGTCGTTGTTTGTACTTATCCGTTTTGAATGCATTCGTCAATTTGTTTGACATGAAACTAAGAAATATGGCAGTTGCATTTTGGACCGCAAATATATTCGTCGAACAAAGGAAATTCAATGAAATGAACAAAATTAATCGACAAAATCGTAATTTACG